GAAGAGGGTGTTCCGGTGTGCCGAATACGACCCGTGTAGCTGTTTCCAACTCCAGTTGGGAGAGACCCTCTTCAGGCGGTGCGTCTCGCTCTGTTTCGCGAATGGCGGCAAGGCCACGGCCGGCGATCGCGCTCGTCGAAGACGTTGGTGTGTGGCAGTCCCTGCAGACGCCGTCGGGATCGGGGTCGTGCAGCGCGAGCTCGCGGGGGTGTGAATGGTGTGGCACCCAGGGGCGCCCATCAGGGTGCTTCCAATCGCGGCGATGAATGTGTTCGAAGCGCAGGGGGACGAGGTCAATCAATTCCTGCGAATCGCCGCTGCAGTCGGGAATGTCGAAGTCGAGAACGTATACGCCGTTCTCGGCGCGCGCCCGTCCGATCTGCTTGCGCTTCTTGTTCGGCATCGTGAAGTGGAGCAGGATGTTGCGCGTCTCGGGGTCGGTGCTGAGGATGACTCCGCAATCCAGGAGTTGCGCCGCCGAGAGCAAATTAAAGCGCAAGTTCTGCACAATCAACACGTCGTTAAGTGTGATGTGCGTTCGGCTCCCTCGTGCCTTGAGCACCACGATACCTTGCGCGCTTGCGCGCAGCCGCGTGTTGTTTGCCACTGTGACGTAAGTGACGGCGGGAGTGGGGACGGCGTTGGATATGTAACGCTCGGAGCCCACCATATGCTGCCCACAGCAGCTGTCCAGGTACCAGTTGTTGTAGCGCCTGTTGTCGTTTCGCGCGAGCAGCGCCAGTCGCGGAGTGACGATGTGTGGAGTGTCCACCTTCAGAAACTGTTCGCGCGCGATCCAGTCGATCGGTGCCGGCCGCATGTCAGGTACGTGCGGAGGGCTCTCAAGCAGCGGGACTGGTAGATTCCAGTCTTGGTTGTCGTCGTCGCTGTAGTCGTGATGCGTGCTGAATGGATTGTTGTTCGGAGATGCCTCGATTGGGTCGGGCGCCGGCTCAGGTGAGAGTGAGCGTGCGCGCGGCGACGAGAGCCGCTCGTCATGGTCATGTTCCCCATGACGTTGCGGACGCGGGCAGCTTGTGGTGGCTGTTGCTGCTGCTGAGTTGTTGGATTCAGGTTGCGCGGTGGGGGTTGAGACCCCTGGGCGGGACGCATGTCGTTTCTTGCGTCTTGTCGGCCGGACCAAGTGCTCGGATTGGTCTGGCGAGGGCGAGATCGATGCTTGCATCGATCCGCCAAGTGCCCGAAATTTCTGCAGATCTTGCAGTACAGGCGCCGTGGTCGTCGCTCTTCCGTGTTGTCTGCGTAGAATGCGAGACGTTCTCTCTCTCGTCGTGGCGCTGGTCGCTGCTAGTCCATATCCCGTTGTTCTACGAGGAGGGCGGCGCAAAGGGCGGCCTCCGAGATGATCCCCTGCTGTCGGAGAAGCGCCTTGCAGGGCCGCCACTCTGGGCCGAGCCCTTGGAGCACGATGTTCACGAAGATCTCCTCAGAGATCGAGCTCCCCAATTTCACGATTTGATCGCGAAGGCTCCGACAGCGGTTGATGTAGCTGTTGACTTTCTCCCCTGAGGTAATCTTAGTTTCCAGCAGTTGCTGGAGTAGTCGGCTCGAGGAGACGGAGTCCTTGGGCTGATACACGCCGTTCAGGTGGCGCCAAGCGTCGAGGGCTGGGGCAGCCGATGTCTTGTATGAACGAATGTTCAGCTGCTCCGCCGGCGACATGTTACGCAGAAGAATCCCGTGCGCCATCAGGGACTCGTTATAATAGCGAGTCCTTGCGTCGTCGGTGTCCTCAGCAGGTCCCGAGTAGCTCCCGTCGAAATAATGATAAATCTGCGCGTTTTGCAGCAGCAGCTCCAGCTCGAAGCTCCAGGTGTAAAAGTCTCTGCCGTCAAAGCACACACTTGTCTTTATTTTTTATATGCTCAAAAACCTTGATTGCGCGGAGAGAATTGCTTCATCGCTGTGACAGGGAGTCTTGGGGGTTGAGCCATTCGTATCTTGGGAGAAGCCTTGCGGGGCGGAGTTTTGGCCGTTTGGGGCCGGTTGAGTGGGTTGGGAAGAAGTTCCCGCATCGCCATTCCGCAATGTCTGGAGCCCTTGCTCCAGGCTCGTGAGTCGCTGAAGCAGTTGTGCGAGGACGGCGGAAGGAATCGTCGTCGTTTTCTCGTTTGTCGCAGCCGGGTTGGGCTGCGCTTCAGCCGTCAGATTCGTCTGACCTCCAGATCCTCCGGCCATTCTTACACGTGATCGTGTGCCGGACGCCACTTTCCGAATGTCGCAGATTTCGGAGATGGCGGTGCGAAGGATTCCTGAGTCGCTCTCATACCATGCTGCGATCAGAAGTTGATCGTGGCCTAGGATCTACTCAGGAAGGTTCGCACGCAGAGAAGTGATGTTGGTGGGCCCTTGACCTCAATAGCAGAGTGAATGTAAAATGCTTTGAGATGATAAAGAACGTGCAGTACAAGGAATATAAATATGAGTACAGGGGAATTCGAAACGACCTAACTAGCCATGTACTCTAAGGTGTACATTCCCTTATTGCAGCGAAATCCAACCGTGCGACTCCGAGTGGTTACGTAACTGTTCGGGCAGAATCCTCGCCACTGCTGCTGCCTAATGCTATCTGCCGACGGTCCAGATGCTCCTCGTAACTGTCTGTCCCTTCGCTTTTGTTCTGCCTTTTCGTCTTCACTCTCGATAGTGCGTGCTTCGGCTTTGCTACGGTGAGGAGTGCACAGTAATATTCAAGTATTACTATTCGTAACAGAAAGTAGCTGTGATACCAAGTGTTACGGGTGCAATGAATCGAGATAGCGAGGATTGCACTAAGTGTCAAATGAGTACAAAATGTGAGCGAAGGCATGAGGGAACATTTATACACGAAACATGCAAAACGGTAATGCGGTGGGTGCAAGCCAGCTAGTGCTACGCTGGCAGTGAGGTTCGGGCTGGTCTCGAAGCGTAGGCCGACACGGCCGGGCCAGCAGTGCGAGATTTGGTGAAACAGTGCACGCGAAAGTCGGCGAAGCCCCGTTAGCTGTAACGAGCGATCAACGGCTGCTGCTGTACGCGATATTGCCGGATGCGCTAAGGAATATCGAGAAAATTCCTTACACTGGGACAAAACGTGAAGATATCAGAACATGGGACAAAACGTTAAGACATCAGGATTCACGCATTCGAAGGGTACACTTTAGATAGCATTCTCTAAACAGAATGACCAAACAGAGATTCGAGTTCAGCAACTTCGGGATCTGCCCCCTCCACTCCTGTTTCCCACCTTTCATTCTCCCTCTTCCCCAGTTATCCCCAATTTGAGACTTCATTTCAGCCCAGGCATTTTACCTGAGATCCTCGTGAATTGTTACTTCTCAGTATCAGTCGCCATGGCGTCCCTAGACCCGTTCTTCCACCTGACCAGCCTTCCCTACGCCATTCTCCGCCCCCCGAAGCTCCGCCTGAAGCTCCCGACTTTCTCTTTCCCCCATCCTATGGTCGTCTACTGCTTCGTAGTTTTCAGCTATTTCCTCGTCGTTTCCGGAATCGTTTTCGATATGATTGTCGAGCCTCCCGGCATCGGCGGCCATCAGGACGAGGCTACGGGAAAATTCGTTCCCGAGGTCATAATGGCTGGAAGACTTAACCAGCAGTACATTATCGAAGGCCTTTCGTCCGGATTTATGCTCGTGATGGGAGGCCTTGGGATTGTCCTGATCGACTGGGCTTGCGACAAGCTGCAAACGAAGAACATGCGGCTGGTGTATCTGGGTACTGGGCTGTCCATGGTGGTTATTAGCTACACGATGAGCATGGTGTTCCTGCGGATCAAGATGCCTGGTTATCTCCACTAGATCTTGCATCTTATGAAGGATAGATTTGGATTGGTATTTTTGTTGCTGCTGGTGGCTGGAAGCAACACATAGACAAGTGGGTGTGACCACTTGTGCTAGTGACTGACCATTGTGTTGTGCACATTGCAGGAAGACTGCAATTTTCATAGCGGAGCTAGCATATTTCAACACCATAAACAAACTGGATCCTTTCAGCCAGCATAAAATGGGTCAACGTCAGCTGAATTGACTGCAAGACATCATTGATGGAGTCAGTACTACATGATGAGATGAGGACCATCAGTATTGGCATTCCTACCAGGCGTCAGAGTGCCGTACATGGCACATCATTCATAGACCTGTCACCAACCTTCACTACACAGCAAGTCACCTCCTGCTCATCCACCCTGTTGGAAATCCGAGTACAGTATAACGAATACTGTATACCAGTGTGCTGTTCGGTTTTAGTGTAGTCCTCGTTAAGCCTCCAGGTCCTACAATACGGTAATTGTCACAATTATTGTAGGGCAACCTAGCAACATTGGAGGGTAGAGGGTACAATTATTGGTACACCATTATTGGTGTCAATGAGGTCATTCTGAAAGGGTAGGTGGAATCCAGGTTTTTTTTTGGATTTTTACTACTCGGATTTCCAGAGCTGTTTTCTAGGGAACTCTGAAATTCAGGGTTTATTATGAGCGTAACTCTGATTTGTCAGAGAAAACTTAACTTCTGGAAAACATGCTTTGAACAGCCAGGGATTTTATTTTTCCAATTCTGAGTGTCCTCTCAAGTATTGAACCCAGGCCTTCTGCCCTCCTACCAAAACTGGAACTGTTGTGCTGCTGAAGAACATAACATAACTGTGTTAAGTTTGCCCAACCATCTTCCACCGATTGAGGAAGGCGGGGCTCGGTCGAAATGCCTATACCCTGTACAGAGAAAAATACATTCGCCACAAATATACACTGGTCTCTCAGAGTAGCGAGAAAACTTATCTTCCAAAAAAATTACCCAGACGCGTAAGAGTGACCCCCTTAAAACCACTCTGATTTTCAGAGAAACAGAGTAATTTACTCTGATAAAAAACCCCTGAGCGGGATGCATATATACCCTGCTGTGTCACTTCTTCATTATCACTGTGTTATCATTCTACAACTCAATGATCAATGCAAGATTTATATCTTGTTCTTTTCTATCGATTCAAGATGCTGTCAGCCAATCATTGAGGTCCGGAAGTCGATTCCGATCCGACCCTGTGTCCCTGCCTCCTGCACTGCGTGGCGCCACATGGAATCCATTCACTGCACGCTCAGCAGCATGCTCTGATACCATAGCCTCTGGTTGTTGTGACCTCAGTCCACCCCCCTGGCCAGCTGCTGCATTACCACCACTTCCATAAAAACCGTTCGCACCAGCAAACGCATTCCCCTTGCTAGGACCACTTGCAAGTGCTTCACCAGGAACGCCCCCGCCATGTCGCATGTTGCCTCCGCCAGGAATGTTACCCCTGCCGCAAAGAGTGCTTGCTCCCAGCGGAGTGTTTCCTCCGCTCTCTGTTTCTGAGAGCTCACAGGCTGGCATTTCCAAATCCAGCAGTACTCTCCGCTTCGGCGCCATGGTGGCACTTGATGCTGATGCGTTTAGTGCTGCTGAGCTGGCCATTACTGAGTTGGCCAGAGGTAGAGCAGCGTTGGTGTGTGATGAGTTTGGCCATGTTGGGTTGTTTGAAGACTTCACAGCGTTTTGTGCTGCTTCCATCAACCCGTTCCTGTGACCGGAAGTTGGATGCCAGGTGCCATTAATGCCATTAGTACCATTCGTAGCAGCAGCACCAGCACCACCACCAGGAGCAGCAGCAGCAGCAGCAGCAGCAGCAGCAGGGATCTCACCAGCCGCATATTGAGACGCCCTCTCTGCCGCTGGTCCAGCCATCTCATTCCGCCCATTCGCCTCGCAATGCCTTCTCAACACGCTCAGGACAGTACCATTCAACCTGCCTGGGATATGCAGGCCCTGACCCAAACTGCCGCCAGCATCCTTCCCCTTGGACGGGACCAGTGCTGATCCTTGGAGCTGCATCTCACTAGCCTCTCGCTTCCTCTTTTCTGCCTCAAGCACCACATGACTTAACTGCTGCATCCCCCCCAAAGCTTGGCTGGATGTATGCGCCTCTTGCTGCTGCTGCTGTTGCTGGTGCTGGTGCTGCTGTTGCCGGTGCTGCTGCTGCTGTTGCTGGTGCTGCTGCTGCTGTTGCTGTTGCAGTTGCTGTTGCTGGAAGTGCTGCCGCCCGCTCCACGGCTGCTGTGGTTGCTGCAGTTGCTGCAGCCAAGGCTGCGGAAGCTGCTGCTGCTGGCTGTTGGGCCCTGAGTTGAAAGGAGGCATGGCGGCAGCAGCAGCGGGCAGCGTGGCACCATTTGACGGGAGCGTCACAGGTCGTGGGAGCTTGAACACCTCCCACGAGAATCCAGACGCTGCAACGTTGTGTGCAAAGGACTGGTAGTCCTTGCTCTGAGACGCTGCTTTGGGAGCAGCGATTTGGTGGACCCCCCCAGCTGATTCGCCCCTGACTGCCGCAGCTGCTCCTTGCTCCTCTGGCGAACGCAAGGTCGCAGCAGCACCGTCATCATTCCTGGGATTCTCAGCACCACGGGCAGCTGATTCAGCAGCACCCAAGGAGGGAGCGTCTGCTTCATCATCGCACATCTCATTGAGATCCATAAGCGCTGCCTTGGGAACAGCAGCAGCCGAGGCTGCAGCTGCCGCAGCAGCTGGAGAAGCAGCAGGGGAAGCAGCTGGAGAGGGCACAGCTGCAGGAACGACAGCAGGAGTGGCAGCAGGAGAGTCACGCAAAGAGTCAAGAGGCTCAGAATGAGCCGCAGGCTGAAGCTTTTGCTGCTCCTGTTTGCTGCGCAGCAGCGCTTCTTGCTCATGCCTCCTCTGCTCTCTCTGCATCTTCCTCGCCTCACGCTTCTCCGCCCTTTCTCTCCTCTCCTGCTCCTTCTTCGCCCGCCGTTCCACCCTCTCCTGCTTTCGCACCCGCTTCGCTTCCTTCCTTGCTGATCTCTCAGCCTTTCGCCTCTCCCTCTCCTTCCTCTCCTGCTTTTTCTTCTCGACCTTCTGCCTTTCCTCCTCTGCCCGTGCTTGCCATTTCAAGGCCACCTGCAGATTCACCCTCACAGCCTCTCTCACCGCCTCACCCACTCCCACCACCTCACCAACACCAGACCCACACCCCTCTCCCATCTCACCCCGTCCCTCCATCACCCCCCCATCCTCCCCCACCACCTCCCCTCTCTCCACGCCTCCCTGTACTCCTCTAAACACCTCACTCGCGCGCTGAAATGCGTCCACAGCGTCGTTCCAGCGGCCAGCGGCGGCAGAGAGCAGGGCGAAGCTGCAGAGGGAGGGGCCGTGCATGGGGGCGAGGAGGAGGGCGTTGTGTGCAGCTGAGAGGGCAGCAGAGAGACGGCCTTGGGCTCGCAGAAGCAGAGAGAGGTTGCACCAGGTCACATGGGATGCAGACGCAGGAGGAGAAGGAGGTAGAGGAGGAGGAGAAGAGGAAGGAGAAGAAGATGGGTCGGTGGAAGGGCAAGGAGGCAGCGACGATGGGCAGTGCAGCGCGCGGGTATACGCTGCCTCGGATTCGTCAAGACGGCCAGAAAGCTGTAGGCAGAGGCCTGCACACAAAACAGGTGAAGTGGCAATTTAGACACAACGCCACACAGATAGTTCAACATAGAAACTATCGAGAGGTGCATGGTGCTCGAGTCAATGTGATGGGACTCCGTAACTCCGTAGGATGGATAGGTGCATGGCGCCAGCTAGGATGTTAGATGCAGCGGGTGAAGTTTAGTTTTGAGGCGCCTCAAAACTAGGATGGATACGTGCATGGTGCCAGCCAAGATGTTAGATGCAGCGGGTGAGCGAGTAAAGCAGAGCTGAGGCGTTTGAACCTCTAGCTTGAGACATCTCAAGCTTGAAACGGAGGGCTATGAATGTGGCACAAAGCTGGGCACAGCTGGTGTTGCAAGTCCGGCTCACCTAGGGAACTCCACGTGGCTGCCGCGGCGGCGGGATGAATATTGGTGAAGAATATTTAGGTCTGGTCGACTGAAAGGTCCGGCTCACCTAGGGAAGTGCTCACCTAGGGAAGTGCTCATCTAGGGAATTGCTCACCTAGGGAAGTGCTCACCCAGGGAAGTGCTCACCTATGGAATTGCTCACCTAGGGAATTGCTCACCTAGGGAACTCCACGTGGCTGTCGATTGCTGGTGGCGTGAGAGAGCTCTCAGGAAGTGCGAGTGAGCTGCTGCAAAGTAGCCCGTGGAAGACAGCTCAACTGCACCATTAGCATCTCTGATGTCCGCAGCAGCACCCCCCATTGTGGTGCCATCTCCCATGTCAGAAGCAAGCGAGTGAATGGCAGAGTGCAGTGCATGCACGCCCAGCTGATGGGCTCCGGTTCCCGCCCCTGCTGCTGCCATCAGAGACTGAATGCAGCAAGCGGGAGAGAGGAGAGGGAAGAGGGAGAAAGGAAAAGGGTGTAGGTACGGGGCGAGGTTAGCTTAGCAAGACAGAACCATGGGCAGAGGACGGACGAGAAAATGGGACGAGGAAGCGATGAGAGGAGAATGTGACGTGGAAACTAAGGTCCTTCAGCGACAGCAACCCAAGCTCTCATACACCTTCTGGGCATTATGTCACCAGCCAACTCTGTAGCCCCAATCCACAGCCCCTCTCTGCACTGCAGCCACTCTCTTTCTCACCTGCTTCTTCCACGCTGCGATCTTCAGCTCCTCTGCTTGCACCACCGCACATGCCAGCTCCTCATTCACCACCTCCCCACGCCCACTCCCATCCCCGCTCCCAAAACCCTCCTCCTCCTCCTCTTCTTTGCACCTCTTCTCCTCGTCCTCCTCTCCATCCCCACCCACACCCCATGATACTGCACCAACCAGCGCCATTAACCGATTTCCATTCTCCCCCCCCTCCACCATCTCCTCCTCACCCCCCAACCCCTCCTGTGCACTCCCTCCATCAGAACACCCAGTTACAGTCAACAGCGGCCCCTCTTCCACCACAAACGCCCCCGTTTTAGTCACAATCTCCTGGAAAGCTCTCCGTTCAAGGGCTGCATGCGCATGCCCCACCACGTCCCACACCATCCACTCAGGCACATGGCTCAAAACGCTCTTGCCATTTCCACCATGGCCACCACCAAAAGCACCAGCAGCACCAGCACTTGCAACATTAGTACCAGCACCAGCGGCACCAGGACCAGCACCAGCACCAGCACCAGTTCCAAAAATGATGGCAGAAGCACCATCACGTGAAAATGTGGGGACGCCGTTGGAGCCATACGTCAGTTCCGGGAGTCCCATCGCATCTGCCATCTCTGCAACGCCGCAGCGGATGTGCTGGGAGGCGAGGGCCAGGGGCAGAGGGGCAGCGGCAGCAGTGGCGATGCGGTGGGCTGCTGCTGCGAAGCGCAGAGGCGCACTGGCCGGCTGCAGCTTCAGAGCCTGCATTGCACCGACGAGGGGCAGGCTTAGCATCATAACAAACAACGAGCCCTCAGAGGATGCCGAGAAAAAAAAGAAAGGGAAGAGAAGAAAGAGACAAGTTATGCCGAGGGTTACCTGGGACATGCACTTAGCCGCCTGCTTCCAACGGCCTGAGCGCGTGGCGGCGTGGGCAAGGTTGCACCAGAGGAAGGCGCAACTCGGTAGCAGCTGCACTGCTGCTGTGGCACACTGCTGTGCTGACACCCCTGCCAAATCCCCTGCAGCCGCTGAAAAAACCACTCTGCTTTCTCCTCCTTCTATGGTTGCATCTGCTCCTGCTGTGCCCGTTGCTGCTGGAGCCAACTCTGCACCTTCTGTCTTCGTCACATCCACAACAACACCAGCATTCGGAGCTCTCTCCTTCTCTTCGTCCTGCCGCTGCTGCACTTGCTCCTGCTGTTGCAAATCCTGTTGCAGCTCCAGTTTCTGCTCCACCTGCGGCTTCTGCTGCTGCATGTGGTCAAGTTTACTGCCAGCTTTCCTGTCAAGTCTCCTGCCATGACACCGCTGTGTAGCAAGCAGCAGGGCGGAGTACGAGCAGAGAGCAGCAGGGTGCTGCGGCTCCCTCTGCAGCACTGCCTGCAGGCAGGCCGCAGCCTCATCGTACCTTCCCCTGAAACAAGCAAGAACAGGGAAGCAGGCAGGTGGGAATTTTTCAGGGGAGGCGAGCAGGGGAGCATGTGAGAAGAGGACAGCACAGAAACGGCTCAGATGCTATACATGCACCGCACAAAGACACATACAGTCTGCAGATGCAGCAGGAAAGCACGCCGGCACACGAAGACACTTACACATGCAGCAGGGCAGCTCCTAGGTTGGCGAGAGTGTCGGTGTCTATGGGAGCGGTAGGGCTTGCCGTGCTGCCAGTGCTGCCAGCAGCATCACCGCTTGTGCCAGTCTCAACGCTTGCCAGCTGTTGTGACAGAACGTCCAGGGCTTTCTGAAGTGCATAAACGAGAGGGTCGTGGAGAGAAGAAAGGGCTTTGTGACGTCTCCAATGATGCTAGCACCATCAGACGTGTTGTTCCACTCTAAACGCTTGCCAGCTGTTGTGACAGAACGTCCAGGGCTCTCTGAAGTGCATAAACGAGAGGGTCGTGGAGAGAAGAAAGGGCTTTCAGATGTCTCAAATGCTACCGGCTTCAAGGGCACTGCATCACCGTTGATCAGATTGAACGGCGGCGTCAATACACTGCACTGCACACAGCGCAATGCACACAGCGCACAGCGCGCACACGCACCTCTGTTCGCCCGTACAGCAGGAGCATGACAGCAAGATGATTGGTCGTGGCCATCCCCCCTCTTTCCGCTGCTTTCTTCAGAGATCCAACGCCTTCAACGTCACCAGGGCCCAGGGTCAGCTCAGCACCCTCTTCTACCGCTGGGGATTCTCCCACTTGCTGCTCCTCCATGTGGTTACCAGCAGTACCAGCACCGGCAGTACCAGCACCAGCAGTACCATCATCACCAGCACCGGAGAAAGCACCACTTCCGGTGCTCCCGTCAGCAGCAGCAGGAGCAGCAGGTGGCATTCCCAGTGACTGCTCTGCAACGTCCTTTGCTTCTGTAGCAGCGGCACTCGGAGCATCAACAGTAGCACCTGGATCACCAGCAGCATCAGCATGAGCAGCAGAGGCACCAGTAGCAGCAGCAGCAGAGCGATCGTTTGCAGCCGCCAGAGTCAAATGACGAATCACATTGCGAATCACCGCATCTTCCTCCTCCTCCCTCTCCTCCTCCTCTTCTCCCGCCTTCCCTTCCTCCTCCTCAACCGCCTCACAACCGTCCTCTTCCACCCTTTCTTCCCCCACATTCTCCTCCGCCACAAACGCTCCTCCCCATGCAGCCCCACCTGCATCCTCACAATGACCTTCAAACAGATCTCCACCGCACTTGACCTCCATCCGCACCTCTCCACCCATCTGCACACCAGCACCTTCCCCATCTCCATACCCTTCCACTTCTTGTTTGAGAAAAACGCTCCGCCTCCGCTTCCTCTTCCCCTCCCCCTCCCCTTCAACCAGCTCTTCCCCCTCCTGCTCCAGTTTCCGTTCACCCTCATCCTCACCCTCAACGTTAACCCCCCCCTCTTCTTCCGTACTGTCTTGTTGCAACAAGCACGCCTCCTCCCTCTGCCTCTCCTCCCTCAGCCTCTCCTCTCTCCTCAGTTCGAGGTCAGCAACAGCAGCAAACATGTCGAGAGCACTGCACACCCGCTTCGCCTCCCTCCCCTCCGCTTCTTCCTCCACCAACCCAGCCAGTCCAAGTAACCCATCCAACTCATCCAACCCATTCGTAACGCCCTCTATCGCTCCCTCCCCCTCAAACTTCCTCTTCCCACTGAGACCACCCTCCTGGTCCATTTCAGGCAGGCTCCACTCCTCTCCATGCTTTTCCGCAGGACGCATCAACCCTGTTTCTGCCTTCTCTCGCTCTCGCTTTCCCCGCTTCTCACCCTTCTTCTGCGCTTGCTGCTGCATCTTCGCTCCCCGCCTCGGCCCCTTGAGCTGTGCTTTTGCCTGTACCTTTCCCTCAACTTTCCCCTGCGCGTTCACCTGATCTTTCCCCTGTGCTTTGCCCTGCACCTTGGAGCTGCTTTGCTTGTGAACTGTAATAGGGGCGCCACCAGCCACGTCAGCATCGTTTGCATGTGCTGCATGCTGTTGTTGCTGCTGTTGATGATTCTGCTGATGTTGTTTCTGCTGCTTATGCGGATGCTGCTGCTGCGAAGCATTGAGATGCTGGTTATGGTGATGATGGTGGGGGTCGGTCTCTGCAGCAGCAGGAGCAGCAAGCATAGCCAGCTCTAGATGACACTGCAGGGGGGCGTAGAGCAGGCATGGGGGGGGGCAGGAGACGGGAGGAGATGAGGGGGTGATGAACAAAGAAGAAACGGTGGAGCAGAGAGGGCGTACTTGAGAATGGCACGTGGCGCAATGGATGCAAACGGAAATAGACCAACGGACCTGTGCCATGTGGCGGTGCGCAGCGGAGTGCAGGTCCCTCCTGGGTTGAGACATCCGCTCCTCCGGCAGCGCTGCCACTGCTGCCGCTGCGGCCTCAAACGCGCTCAACGCCTGGTCGAGAAAGTGATGAAGTACAGGGAATTCGGCGTAAAAAAAAAGGGAGGACGAGGGAAAATGCAGACACACGCACACGCACATATGGGATACGACATCTGTCTCATCCACCAGGGCTCAACGCATGGAAGGAGAAAAAAGTCAAACCACAAATGCAGACGTTTTCCCCCAAGATACACTCCCTTAGTGACGGAAAGCAAGCACTTGCAACGATCAACGGATCTCACGGATGGATGCTATCTGTGACAGAAATTCGCCTTTGGAAAAGCGCGCATCTCTTGGGGAAAAGTGCTCGCAGAACCTTCCGCGCGCATCCTGGCGGACAGCAGGCGGAGCTTGCGCGCATGCATGCATTTGCGTAACGCGGATACGCGCGCGTATGAATTGCGGGAAAAGCTGTCCGCCAGACTGCCGGGCGTGTAACTGGGCAATATCTTTGCGCGAGAGCCTCGCGAGAACATTTAACCTCCCGCGCTAACTCCGCGAAAGCGCGAGCGCGCGCGCGTACCTTGGCGGGTTGGTGCTCGCGGAGAAAGTGCAGCGCGAGGAAGAAATGCACCTCGGGACTCTTGGGCTGCCGCTTCGCCATGTTCAGTAGCGCCTGCGGCGGCGACGGGACGAGTGTGGGAAACGAACGGGCAGTTGAAGAATCAGATACGCAGTTGAGTATGTGTGGGAACGAGCTGCCGCTTCGCCATCTCCAGTTGCGTTTGCGACGGGACAAAGTGAAAGAAACGGGAGGGAAGTTGACGCATTAAGCACGAGGCAGTCACGGAACGACGCCACGGATGCGAGGAGTAGCGGGACTGGGCGGAGTGGCAGATCCGAAAGGAAATGCCAAGCGGCGGAGTCAGCGGCTAGATTTGTAGTTTTGACTCTATTTAAAACGTATCTGTCAGCCGATGTCGCTAGTCGTATTAATTTTCTGGGGTCTGTCGAGATACCGACCGCCTGACATCTGCCTTTTTTTCTGCGCGGATAAGGAAGGCAGTCCTAGTCGCCGTCGTCACTGTCTACGCAAGACGAGCAGCGAATCTACGATCTAACGACTGAATTAACGAACGATGGCGAATAGTTGAGATTCTCGCCTGTGACGGCGGCGACCGTCACGGTAGTACCAGCGCAAACCATGTGGCGTTTGCGACGTCTGGAAACAAACCGGAAGCGCGACGGAGACTGTCGGTGGCGCCAGTACTAATGCAATCCGCCACGTCACGGTCTAGAGACGGCGGGAGACCAAGGATGACCATATAGCGTCACACGCTCTACTAGTGTGCTGTTTTAGCCTGCCGCTGTCTATCTGTCACCAAGCTGGCGAGGATGACGGTACTGAGGCAACGGCAGTGACTTCTGAGTCGACTGAAAAGACACGCTCTACTAGTGCGCCGCTGTAGCCTGCTTCTGTCTATCAGTCGCTAAGCTGGCGAGGAGGACGCTACTGAGGCAACGGCAGTGGCGCCCTCGTCACGCGACGGGAGAGCATTGAAACCTTTCTCCTATCCGAAATCGGAGAAAATACGGTAAGGCGAGAGCCGACGGAGGGATAAATCAGTGGCATCAAAGCTGCGGGTGATGATTGGCAGTCGAAGCGACGTACTGCTTTCAAGATCTTGGATCGGTCTTGGGCCGATTGGCAGGGTGGCGACGACGACGACGGTGCCTGCTTCGCGACTTGCTCCTTCGTCGCCTGATCCTTTGTCGCAGACTGCTTCGTCGCCGGCTGCTTCATCGCCTGCTGTTTTGTCGCCTGCTGTTTCGTCGCCTGCTGCTTCGTCGCCTGCTGTTTCGTCGCTTGATGTTTTGTCGCCTGCTGCTTCGTCGCCGGCTGTTTCGTCGCCGGCTGCTTCGTCGCCGGCTGCTTCGTCGCCGGCTGCTTCGTCGCCGGCTGCTTCGTCGCCGGCTGCTTTGTCGCCGGATCCTTCGTCGCCTTTGAACAGCGCACGGCTTGGGCCTTCATCGCCTCCTCCGGCGATTCTTCAAGGGGCCGTTTGCCCTGCACTTTAGTAAGAGACGCCTTCCCTCTGGCACTCGTGGCTGCCGCCGATGACTCGCCGTTTCCCCTCGAAACCGTCGCCCTCTGTGTCGTCATCGTCGTCGCCGTCGCCGTCATCGCCGTGCTCGTCGCCGGGTCCTTCGCGTGCTTCTTGCCGCTCGCCGATGCGCCATTGGTCGTTGCTGAGGGCCGTTCCCGCTTGCCGGTGCGGACGCGCTTCGTCTCTCCACCGCCACCCGCCGGGATTTCTGGTGTCTTCACAACGATCGACGGGTTTTTAGTTGGTGGAACGCCAGGCGTCAACGCGACAGGCAACGGTGGCCGATTCTTTGATGCGGCGACGCGATTCGCTCGTGGTCGTCCAGGGGATTTCGTCGCAATCGACGCTGGCTTCTCTGATTTGCTCGCTCGAGAAGATTCGACGCGAATCGACGCCATTTTAGCAAGACGATGGTGGTGGGACGAGGTAGAAATTGGATGAGCTACTACGTCTAAAGCCTAAGAAAAGGAGGAGAAGCACGGAAATGTATAAGGAGCTAGGAATAAACGGATGTGTACGGAGATTAAGGATCTACTAGTGGTTAACGTCTAGTACAAGAAGAGAGCAGCGGGAAGAGGGGTTGCTAGTACATGACGAAGGATTAAAGGCGATGCGGTCAACAGATTACTAAACCGCGTACCACACATCCTTTAAACTCGCACGGTCGCAGTGCTGATACTGGCGATCTTGCTAATACGGCAGATGCATTCTCTAATTTTACTGCCATGACATGGCAGTTGTGGGATGATTGGACTAAGTGCAATGCCTGGTGAGTTCTGGAATTGCTGATTGTTTCTGTGAGATGTGTAATTCTGGTTGTGACTTATGACTGCATGTTGTACTTGTTTATTACCAGCAGCTTCAATCTGAGCTTTGCCTTTCCCCTCCCTGAAAGCCAGTTATTCCGGAATCAGTCAGGGGTGAGGAAGGCAAGACAAGACAAGCCCAACTTCCTTGGCTCGGCTATGCTCGCCTTGGTTCTCCTCCTTCGCGTTGCTGTCTGCTCTCTCCACTCCTTTCCCCGCCTCGCCTCGCTTCGCTTTTCATCAATCTGCTTCGCTCAATCCGCCTCCTTCAACCCCTCGACCAGTTTTCGTCTTCCCTTTGGACCATCAAATCCGCCACATACATCCCTGCGCCCACATCCCCACTCTTTCCCCCACCCCGTATCTTTGGCTGGGGAGGGGACTGGTGGTGCTTGCCCATTCGCTCCGCTCGTTTGTTCAACTGGCTGCCCGTTCCACTCATCGATGTTGGATTTGTGTTTGCCATCCAGCACTGTACCGTACTGTTACGTACAACACCCGCCTTCCGGTTCGGTTGGGGGAAGAAGTTCCGCGCTACACATTGCCTGATGCTGCTGCTGCGCGCTCTGCCTGTTTCAACACTCGACTGTTCTGTCGCTGGCGCACCTCGAAGTTCTCGAGCTTCCCTTTGCCCCGATGGGGTGTTTGTGTTCTTTCCCCGCCACGCCATCCCCCCTGCGCCCTGGTAGGCCGTGGCGCCACGGCCGTCCCCCGCTGAGCTCAGCTCTCCACCACCACCCAACCTCGCGACGCGGTTTCGTTTCCGCACTTGCGACGACCACGGGACGGGAGCGGAAATGGAAGAATCGAGGGCTCGCTCCCTCGCTTGATGAGCTTTGCATGGTCAGGTGAGTTGTGTCACTGTGGACGCCGGGAAACCCTTTCGGAGCATCCGCCCTCCACCGCCTCGTGCTGTTTGCCCCACATCAGCAGACTTTGGACGGTAGTGCATTGCTGCTGGATGCGAAAAAAGACAAACGTCTCATCCTTCGCGCCTCGGTTCCGTAAGATCTGGATCCTGGCTGCTGGTGAAAAGGGTCGAGGGAGGGAACGGAGCTGCGGCGGAGTGTTCCAAATTTCGATCGGGGGAAGCGGTAATGTAATGGAAAGGGGGAAACAAAAAGCACGGGGTACACTAGTGTGCTGTGCAACGTCCATCCTGTTTGGAGAGCGGAGCATTGCGGAGGAATTTCACACACAGTCGCCGCAAAGCCAGATTGAGGGCATCCCTATCCCTTCTGGGTGTTCATCGTTGTGTGTTGTCATCGTCACCACACCACCATGTCAAAAGCCGCCTGAGGATCCCCCCTTCCGCTGTTCGCTACGCGATGACTTTGCGGCCGTTCGATCACACATGGGTGGATGTGCTGGATGGAGGGGGTTGAAGATTTGGGCTGGTCCTTGCCCAATGGGGAGTACGCAACCCCAACAAAACAGCAAGTGACAGTGACGACGAGACGATGCAATTGATGTGACTTGTTGCATCATGAAATTGGTCCGGACATGAACTGTAATTTGAAGTTTCGAGCACAGAATGTGAACTTGAGACTCCCTCAAATTTCAGTCAGTGCATGTTTTTGGAACACTGATTTGGCACTCACCTTGATTACACCTGTTCGATATTTCCACACCCTGAACTTTGATTCTTCCCAGACACCCTACATGGTTGAAGGTTTGATGAGACGGACGCCACCAGGTCTATCAGGAAATAACCACCAGGTCTATCAGGAAATAACCACCAGGTCAAGGCCTTTCGAAACTCGAACTTTGTAGTTCGAGTGAGCGGGGAAAATTCCAGTGCCAGATTGTTCCTGCGTTAAGCTCGCATTGAGATTGTGTTACATTAACCCTGAAAATTCTTCGAGCGTTGCTAACTACCTTCGAAATCGGTTTTTTCGAGGGTACGTACCCCACGTCGTGAAGATAAAGGGTGTGGAAATATCGGAGAATAAGTGTACCACAGGCATAGATCACAGTTGGTTGAGCAGAGTTACCTTGCTGTATTTTCGGGCACGGGCGGATTACTGTAGCAGCATAAATGGGAGGGTAGAATTCTGCTTCGGACGCGCTCCGTGTGCAACATGCACAGCATGCGTGCTCCAGCAGAGGATCACTGTAGCCTTGAAGGTCCAGTCATCAGTCGAGAGAAATTCAGGCTTCAGCAGCCAGCTTTATGGGAGGCAAAGCGAAAAAACCCTCGTGAGAGCCAGGTGCTAGCGACCACCAATGTAACTCTGCCACGCGTTACTTCACACCCCAGAGATTCACAAGAGCTACAGTTCCTCACCGAACTCGTTACAAGATTACTCGTTACCCTTCAAGCGTTTGTTGAAGATACGGGACCTGGTTACTGCAAAGATTCTTATCACTCTGGCCAGAGTTCTCCGCTGCGCGACCCCAGTCTCACACACTTCGTCCTGCCAGTGGGTTTTCCCGCCCATTCGTTCCCTGTTTGTTGCACGCGGTTCAGTTGGGTGGGCGTTCTTGCAAAATCCCTAACCAACCATTCTGAATCTTAAATGACCGCTCCAGATCGTATTGATTCAAAATTGAGCCGCACTGAGACCAATTGCTGGTCCGACCTTTCGGCTAGGTGGTGGCTGCTGTTTTGTCAATAAAATAGCTTCGCCAATACAGTATTCGTGAGATGTTCTGCACGTAGCGACGCATGGAGAAAACGTTCGCTGATGCGTTACTTCGGCCACAAATGGGCCAGTCGCACACGCTTCCCCTGCCACCTCTTTCATCCAGCCAGCCGCCGCATAGGAGGCCATGAGCTTGAAAGTAATTCCTTATTTTCCTGATCACTGGCGGAACCTATCCTATCTGGGTTCTTTTGTTCTGAAATTGGTTGTTGAGTTTAACGATTATTACCCGCTAAACATTCCCTCTATCAAGCTTGGAGGAATTATCGTTAGAGTCACATGTTCGCTCATGTGACCCGAAATTCCGGTCTCCGTGGAAATGTCAGCAGATGGCGCTCCAATGCGCCGGCGAAGACGGTGCCGTTGGGAAGTCGCGTTTCGGCGACGCGATCCGAGCATAAGCGAGACTGCAGCCGGCATCTCGTTCTTATCTTAGCTGTTACCAACCTTGCGTTGCTCTTCCTCCACCCACTATTGACATTTAGGTCACCGGGTTCCGGTATTAGCGACGATTATGATGATCAGGATCCATTTTCGAGAGCCGCTGCTGACGTGGCATGGCGGTCGAGGCAGAAAAGGAGGGGCTTGTGGAACGCGGCTACGCAACGATGGCGCGGAGCGGACGGCATTCAGGCAGAGGTACGACCGGGATGAGGTACGACCTGGATGAAGTACGACCTAGGTAGGAGTTGGCTGCGGAATGGTGCACTGCTTTTATTGTGTTGATGCTTCACACCCACCCACCAACCCACCCAGCCGCCCACCCACCCTTCCTTCCCCTTCCCCCCCCTTCCGGCCCCCTTTCCCCTCCCCTCACCTGCTAACATGCTTGCTTATTCCGAAGTTTCAAACTCCAATCCCTTCCTCCTCCCCCCCGCCCACCCTCCCCCCCCCCCCCCCCACCCCCCCCCCCTGTCCCACTTGTCCATCTGACACTATCCCGCACTTTTCATAGAGTTTTTCTCATTCAACCCATCTTCATGCTCCTTTTGATGATCTCCCTTCGCCCTCCCTCTCCCGTCTCCTGTTCCCCCCACCCTCCACCTCTAGTCTCTTTTCCCACCGCTCATATCCCATTTCCCCTCTCCCCACTTCCCCTATTCCTAACCCCCTATTTCCACTCCCCTATCACCACTCCACCAACCCCAATCCCTCCTTCCACCACACTCCCACGTACTTCCCGTTTGATTCTATTTACCGCAAACCTAAACAGACCATCGGCAAGCTGTTAAACGAGGATTCGGAACGCTTCTCCTTGCCTATTAAGCGGCGCCACGTCAGCACGGGGCACGGGCTGCAGGGATTCGTGCTGTACAGCAGCTACCGGCTGAACATGTCGTCCTTTGTGGTGCTCGGGCTCTCCCCCATGGCGCTGCACTCGCTGCCACGTGTCAACTCGTGCAGGTGACGTGGCGTGATGGGGAGATGACGTGGCAGTGGCATTGCTGATGGTGCCTGTTTGGGGAAGCAAGGGCTATAAGGAAAGGGGGAGTGAGACGCAAGTGGGGAGGGATGGATACCACTATTCGTTTTCCCCCAAAGCCTTCCCCATCCGCTTTCTCCTGTGATATTTTTCCCTTGTTCCCCACCCACCTCTCCACCCACCTCTCCACCCACCTCTCCACCTCGCCTCTCCACCCACCTCTCCACCTCGCCTCTCCACTCCACCACCTCCACTCCACCACTCTCCACTCCACCACTCACCACTCCACCACTCTCCACTCCACCACTCTCCACTCCACCACTCACCACTCCACCACTCTCCACTCCACCACTCTCCACTCCACCACTCTCCACTCCACCACTCCCCACTCCACCACTCTTCACCCCACCCCACGTCTCTATTCGCTCTCTACTCACCTCTCCTTCTCCGCTCCTTCCCTTGCACTCCTACCCGAATCACGTTCGCCCGTTCCCCGCGTTTAGGCAGATGGGAGCCGACGACGCCAGCATCCCATGCTGATGAGCCACGTGGCACTGATGGTACACGTGGCACAGCCACGTCAGCACGCGCAGGATTCTCACGACACTTGTTAGAAGTCAAGGGAGGTGGCAAAGAGAGGCCACGGGGGAAAGGGGATGAGGGAGGTAAAGGGGCGGTTCGAGGCAAAGGGGATGGGGGAAGTAAAGGGGTGGTACAGGGTAGGGGGGCAGGAAGGGGTAAAGGAGGGGATGGACGGGGAAACGGGGCGGGTGATGGGGGAAGGGTAAGGCATGGGGGTGGGGGAAAGGTCGGGGTAAAGTGGGCGCATGTGGTGCACAAGGGGAAGAGCGGGGCTGAGAGTGTGGAGGGGAGAAGAGAGAGTGAGAAGAGGGGCGAGGTGGGGAAGGCGGAGGGGAAGAATAAAGTGAAAAGAGGTGATGCGGGGTTGAAGGAGCAGCAGCAGGCACTGAGGCAGACAGGCAAGGAGGTAAGGGAGGGAATTGGAGGGGGAAGTGAAGGAGGGAAGGGGGGAGAGAAGGGAAGGGATAAGGGAGGAGGAGGCAATGTAGGAGCGAAGGAAGGAGAGAAGGGAGGAGGGAAGGGAGGAGAAGATGGTGGAGAGAAGGGGAAAGAGAAAGGGGGAGACAAAGGAGGAGGGAAGGGAGGGGATGAGAGGAAGGAGGAACAGAAAGCAGGTGGTGTTTCTGGCAGGAATGGTATGGGTGCGAAGGGAACAGTAGGCATAGGCAGTGGGGGAGTGGAAGTTCAGGCAGAGGGACTGAGTAGGAACGTGCAAAGGGATAACAGCAAACAGCCTCAGGGGCTTCAGAAAGCAGCAGTAGCTGCAGCAGGAGCAGCCAAAGCAGCAGCAGCAACATCAAGCAAGACAACAGCCAAAGCAACTGCTGCAGCGGCAGCAGAAACAGGAGCAGAAACGGCAGCAGGAAAAGGAGGAGGAGGAGGAGGAGGAGGAGCAGCAGCAGCAGTCGCAGGAGCAAACAGGACTGCACCAGGAGCACAACGGAAAGCAGCAGGAGCAGCAGGAGCAGCAGGAGCAGCAGCAGCAGCAGGAGCAGGAGCGACAGGGAAAGGAGCAGGAGCAGCGGAAGGCAGCAAAAGGGGAGAAGGAGGAGGAGGAGGGTCAAAATCCAAGCACCCGCCAGGGTCAATCCTGGGCACAGTGACAGCGCACTACCCAGGGGAGGGCTTTAAGATGCGGTATGAGGCGGTGATCCTGCAGTGCTCCCTGCAGGCGCCCACGGGGCCGATATCGGGCGGCCGGCTGGTGATGGCGGTGGATGGGCGCGAGGCCGTGGTGGTAGTGGAGGAGCCAGGGCACGACCTGCCACACGCCATGCGCACCCATGATTTCCCGTGAGTGGGGATCAATTTTGGGTTTGTTGAATTTGTGTGTTACCCTGCAATGCTCCCTGCCGGCTGGTGATGGTGGTGGATGGGCGCGAGGCAGTGGTGGTGCAGGAGGAGCAAGGGCACGACCTGCCACACGCCATGCGAACACATGACTTCCCGTGAGTATGGAAGGGGCGTTGCTTTGTTAAATTCGCCTGTCATCCTGCAGTGTTCCCTGCAGTGAGCCCTGCAGAGCTCGCTACAAGGGCAAACGGGGCCGATAGTGGGTTTTGAGACCCTCAAAACCCTGCAGGCGCCCACGGGGCCGATATTGGGGGGGCAGCTGGTGATGGCGGTGGATGGGTGAGGCAGTGGTGGTGGAGGAGGAGCAAGGGCATGATCTGCCGCATGCCATGCGCACCCACAACTTCCCGTGGGTGTGGACAGGGGTTTTTGTTTGGTGCTTGTGTTGAATCGCCTGAATGGTGGTGGTGGAGGAGGAGGAGGAGGAGGAGGAGGAGGGGGAGGAGCAAGGGCATTACATTAACTGCCACATGCTGTGCACATCTATGAATTCCCTCCCAAGACACACATCCCCCCCTCTCCACCCTTCTCCTCTCCACTTCCTTATCCTCCCTTCTCCAGCCATGCTCTCACCCACTGCTCGTCGCCGCTATACAAGCCGACACACGCCGGCCGGCTGCGCGAGTGGATGGATTTCCACAGCACTGTTCACCGCGTGGACCTCTTCCTGCTGTACGATGCGGGCGGCGTGGACGGCGCCGTGCGACATGCGCTGCACCCGCTGCTGGCGGGCGGCTCAGTGCAGATCGCGGATCTCAGAGACGCCGCCCGGTTCGAGAGCTACCACCACGCACAGGTGGGTATGTTTTGTCTGTATGTGTGTGCGTGCGTGCTTATGTGCGGGTGCGTGCGTGTTGCGTTGTGTGTCCTTGGAGCGACTTTTGAGAATTCTCAAAAGTCGCTCCAATATGTATGTCCGTGTGTTTGTGTTCGTCTGAACAGATGAACAGCAAGTTTGTCTGTTATGAACGCCAGCTTCACTTCCCCTCTGAAACTTATGAACATCTTCTTCCATTCTGCTTTGCCTCCTTTTCCTTCCCTTCCCTTACCTCCCACCCTTCCCCTCCCTCCCTTTCCCTCCTCACCTCCATTCCTCCAGGTCCTAGCAATGAACGATGGCATTTTCCGCACGAGGCACCTCAGACTCCCCCTCTCTCCCTCCCCTCCCGCCCCTCCCCTCCCCACGCTCCTCCCATCCCCCTCACCTACATTCTTCCAGCTCCTAGCGATGAACGACTGCATATTCCGCACGCGCCACCTCTCCCGCTGGACGCTCTTCCTCGACTTTGACCACTACATCACCATCCCCCACGCCCTCATCTCCAACCGCTATCCCCCCACCACCACTTCTGCCACCGCCGCCACCACCACCACCACCACTCCCACCATCACCATTGCCACCACCACTGCCACTGGTACCGCCACCTTTCCCAGAACGCTCCTGGCTGACCCGAGTAACAGCAGGGTGCTCTCTCTGCTGGCGTTCCTCGATGGGAAGGGCCAGACTGTTGACGGGAGGTGGCAGGGGGAGGGCGAGGAGGGGTGGACGTGGGTGAGCTTCGGGTGCTTCGTCTTCTCTGTCGACCGCTGTGCTCCTCTGCCCGACATCAGGTGAGACACTTGACGGGAGGGGGCAAGGGCAGGGGCTGGGCGGGGGACAGGGGCAGGGGCAGGGGCAGGGGGGGGGCGAGGAGGGGTGGACGTGGGTGAGCTTTGGGTGCTTCGTCTTCTCTGTCGATCGCTGCGCTCCTTTGCCTGACATCAGGTGAGACGCTTGCGCCTTCACTCTTGCCCCTTCCCTTTAATCTTTGCGTATGCTTCCTTTTTTTCTTCGTCTTCTTTTTTTTTCTTCTTTCTTCCTTTCTTTCTTTCTTTCTTTCTTTGTTATGTGGTTCTAAAAAGAACGAGCGTAGGGCAGCACCGATCCTGCATTCCTATTTCAGTGACTGGTAGCATGTTTCTGTCTCTGTCACCTCTCACAACCCGTGCAGTGAGGGGGACGAGTGGGCAGTGGAGCGCATGGTGTATCGGGACCCTGAGCCATACTGCAGAGAGAACAGCAGCTACAGCGATAAGACCGTGTGCCATGCCGTGCCATTCCGTGCCATACCTCTAACCTTTCCTATCCTTCCACCCCCATCACCACTCTCAACCCATGCAGTGAGGGGGACGAGTGGGCAGTGGAGCGCATGGTGTATCGGGACCCTGAGCCATACTGCAGAGAGAAAAGCAGCTACACCGTATGCCATGCCTCTAACCATCCCCCCTGTCTTCCACCTCCCACCACCACCCACAACCCGTGCAGTGAGGAGGACGAGTGGGCGGTAGAGCGCATGGTGTATCGGGACCCTGAGCCATACTGCAAGGAGAACAGCAGCTACAGCGACAAGACCGTATGCCAAAAGGCAGATGGCCTTCGCCAACTCGCCATCAACCCGCGCAAAACCCTCGTGGTTCAGAGCAACCGGTGAGTAGAACAATCCATGGGTTGCTAAACTCCCCAAGGTTGTTCAATGCTCCATCAGACCCCCATACCAAAAGCGCATGCAAGTCAATGCAATGGAACACAGTTCAGCCTCCTATTGGTTTTTTCTATAACTTTTATGAGGTGCTTTGGTGCAGGATTTTGAATGCGGAGCCGGGAGGCTACATAGCGCCCACGGGGAGTGTGCGCATAAACTACTTCAAGGGGCTTTCTGAACGCGACCGCAGCACCTGCGAAATTATCATGCCCAATTCTGATGGTACCATCGATGCCAACTTGACTCAAGATTACTCCGTTTCGAATTTAGCCGTTGCCGCTCTATATAGATTAGCTGCTAACAACAATGGGCTAACATAATAGCATTGTGTTGAAGACCTCAAAGTGTTCAAGAAGAACGAAGCACAAATCTCACAAGTACAAGCGACGGGCAACTTTTGGCAGTGTTGGGTTCAGAAGTTTTTTTTTTGAACCAGGCTTGCCAGCGCGAAAGTGCTGGCTGGCGAAAACCAGGATTTCGTGCGGACACTTTCCATCCGCAGTAACAGTTCGCCAGGGTTCTGGGTTTTGGGTGGCAAATGTGCACCGTCGCTTTGAGGTGCTTGTTCACATCCCGTGCCAACATCTTATCGAGTCTCGTAACCCTACGCACCTCCTCAAACGCGTATGACACTGAAATTCGCCCCTCCAATTTCTGAAACCACCTGTCTTATTTGCATGGCTTGACCTTGATGTTCCCGCTGGCAGCAGGCTACACGCGCAATACCTCTGTCGTCCGCGTGTAATGGCACCATTAAAATTTCATGCGATCCACGTGTCGCGCGCTCTGCCAAGACGTGGCGTGTTGTCGCTCGTCTACTCCGCGCCTCCGCCCCTCACCGTGGTTTGCGCGAAGTCAAAGGTTCATACGAGCAGGAACAGTAAAACACGGGCGAATCCGCGACCGCTTCCGCGTGCTCGCGGAAGCGATCTGCCCGCGGGCAAGAAAGAAAACTAAAACCCATCCGGAAGGCATGCGGCTCGGGAGGCATCAACCCTAAAATTTTAGGGTTGAGGGTCCCGAACGGCATGCCGGTCGCGATGGCGAATAGTTTTTTTTGCCCCCGGGCAGACAGCTTCCGCCGGCTCCGCGTCCTGGTGGAAACGACTTCCACCAGGAGGGGCACCTGGTGGATTCGAATCCACCAGGGCTCGGATGGACTATGGAAATTCCGGCCGAAAACGCATCCTTGCGGAAAGCATGAGCGGAACGAAAGGCATAAGCGGAACGAGTCCGCGCGGAAAGCATGGAGGCGGAGCGAAAAGCACAAGCGGAACGCATCCGCGCGGAAAGCATAGAGGCGGAAGCTTATGTTTGCGGAGGAGATGGGGCGCAGATCCAGGCGAAGGAAGGCGCACGCGCCCCGCCGGAATGAAATTTTCAGCGTGGTTGCTGCGGCTTTCCAAGGTGGCCCAGGCGTCCAATGCGGTGACGAGGCGAGGATGCAGGGTGGGATGCGGTGGTATAAGATAGGGTGGGAACGAATGTGATGCGATGGGATGGTTTGATATGCGATGGCGCGAAATGATCCGAGGGCTCTTGCTTCTTTAGACGGATTCAATCATTCAACCAGATTCGGCCGTCTTAGTTCTGCTCCCTCGGCAGCGGCTCATCAAACCACTGTGCGACGCCATTTTTTTTTTTCCTTCTACTCATATTTTTTCACACAGCACTTGTGTTCGAACCGTGGCAGCAACAACCATGGCTGCGACTGTTGCCACCACCATCCAACTCTCGTTAGCCGTACACGGCATACGCCCTGCTCTGGCGCCCTCCCACGGGGATCATTCAATAAAGGGTACAAAGGGAAAGTGCCGCGTGACAATCCCATGGCGGAGCAGCCGCAGCGGCAGCAGCAGAAGCCGAATCAGTACCAGCAGCAGCAGCAGCAGCAGCTGCAGCGGCAGCAGCAGCAGCAGCAGGACCAGGATCAGCGTCAGCAGTAGCTTCAACAGCAGCGGAGGTAGTGGTGGTGGCAGGAGCGACGGGTTTATTGAGTCGACTCAAAAATCGACTTACCACAGCGGAGGCAGCGGTGGCAGGAGCGACGGGTTTTCGTGGACTGCGAGGCGCGTGGAGAGGAGGCGACAGGGTGGGCGAGGGGGGAGAGGAGTAGGAGGTGGAAAACCGTGGGGGGCGCCAGACAGGGAAAAATCTGGAGAGAAAATAGAAGATGACAATAATTCGCGAGATGGTGACTGTATCAAGCGAGAAAGTGACTATATCAAGCAGGGTGGTGAGAATTTGAAGCAGAGAGCTGACCCTGTGAAGACGGATCGTGACTATATGCAGCGGATCAGGGATGACGGCGGGATTGGACGGGTGGTTACTACCCAAGTCGCAGCCCTCCCTGCTCGCCTGCACCAGATGATACCTCCCCTCTCCTCCCCGCACTTGCGACACCTAGCCCCTTTCCTCGCCGCCTCCCTGCTGCTTCTCTTCCTCCTCCTGCTGCGCCGCACCGTCGCTCGCACGTTCCTTGCAGCTTCCTCTGCTGTGCGTCGTTTTTTCACCCAGCTGTCCCGTGCTGGAGGTCTCTTATTGAAGCCTGAAGGGCGTAAAACACCTTTGCACCATGCCGGGATGCGAGAAGACAGCTTGCAGCTGCAGCGGAGGGCCCCGCTTGTCATTGGTCAGGAGCAGGAGCAGCAGCAGGATGAGGAGGGGCAGAAGAAGGAGGAGGAGGAGTCACCAGCTGCAGCAGCAGCAGCAGCAGCAGCAGCAGCAGCAGCAGCAGCAGCACCGCCACCAGCAGCAGCAGCAGCAGCAACAGCACCGCCACCAGCAGCAGCAGCAGCAGCAGAAAAGAAAAGAAACAAAGCAGCAGCAGCAACAGCAGCAATAGTAGCAATAATAGCACCAGAGGAGCTTGTGTCAAGTCTTGAAGAGATTTCGTACTTGCGGGATAGGTTTCGGCTTATGATTGAGGAGGAGGAGGAGGAGGAGGGGGAGGAGGATGACGAGGAGGAGGAGTGGGGGGAGGGGGAGGACGAGGAGGAGGAGTGGGGGGAGGGGGAGGACGAGGAGGAGGAGTGGGGGGAGGGGGAGGACGAGGAGGAGGAGTGGGGGGAGGGGGAGGACGAGGAGGAGGAGTGGGGGGAGGGGGAGGACGAGGAGGAGGAGTGGGGGGAGGGGGAGGACGAGGAGGAGGAGTGGGGGGAGGGGGAGGACGAGGAGGAGGAGTGGGGGGAGGGGGAGGAGGAGTGTGGTGAGGAGGAGTGGGGGGAGGAGGATGAGGAGGAATTGGGGGAGGAGGAGATGGAGTGGGGGGAGGAGGGGGAGGAATGGGGGGAGGAGGAGGAGGAATGGGGGGAGGAGGAGGAGGAGGAGGAGGAGGAGGAGGAGGAGGAGGAGGAGGAGGAGGAGGAGGAGGAGGAGGAGGAGGAGGAGGAGGATGAGGAGGAGGGGGGTGAGGAGGAGGGGGGTGAGGAGGTGGGTGAGGAAGGGGAGGGTGAGGAGGAGGAGAGGTTGAGCACTGAGGGGATAACGGAGCAAGAGCAACAGCAGGTTCAGCAGTCTCTGAAGCAACTGATTGGTGACGGTGGGGCTGACGAAGGGACTATTGTTGCTGCTGTTCGTAATGCTGCTGCTGGTGATGGTGGTTCCAGTGGTGGCAGCAGTGGTGGTGGTGGTGGTGATGTAGATGAAGTGTTTGAGTCACTGAATGCGGCAGATGACATTTTTTCAATGATGCTGGCACTTGATGTGCGCTGGGTGGATGCAACAGAAGGTTCAGGTGAAAATTCAGGTGATCTTGGTGGTTGTTTACTTTTTGAAGCAGCAGGGGAACTAGCGGCAGCGGGGGAAGCAGTGGAGGAAGAAGCTGAAGAGGCAACAGACGGAGAAACAGAGAGAGCAGCAGAGGGAGCAGTAGACGAAGCAGCAGATGCAACAGCAGAGGCAATAGCAGAGGGAGCAGAAAAAGAAGCAGAGGGAGCAACGAAGGCAACAGCATTGGGAGCAGCAGAGGAAGCAGCAGAGGGAGCAATGGAGGCAACAACATTGGGAGCAGCAGAGGCAACAGCAGAGGAGGCAGCAGAGGAAGCAGCAGGAGAAGCAGCAGGGGTAGCAGCAGCAGAGAAAGCAGCAGAGGGAGCAGCAGAGGCAGCACGAGAGGCATCAGAGGAAACGGCAGGAGACGCAACAGGAAAAGCAGCAGCAGGGGAAGCAGCAGCAGGGGAAGCAGCAGCAGGGGAAGCAGCAGCAGGGGAAGCAGCAGCAGGGGAAGCAGCAGAGGGGCTAGTAGAGGAAGCAGCAGAAGAAGAATCACAGGGAACAGCAGAGGGGGCAGCAGAGGAGGAAGTGGACGAAGAATCCGAGGGAGAAGCAGGGGAAGCAGCAGAGAAAGCAGCTGAGGAAGAAGCAGAGGAAGCAGCAGGAGAAGCTGCAGGAAAAGCGGGCAAAGCAGAGGCTGTGACGGGCGTAGAGGAAGCAAGGACGGAACACGAGGAGAGGGGGATAGATGGTGACCGGGAGAACCAATCAGGCAAGAGCATTAATTTCACAGCTCAGGACAACAGTGGTTTTGCTGTTTCAGAAGAATCTGGAACACTGAAATCAGCACCAGTAATTGGGGAAAACAAATCCGAAGGGAGCGTCTACAGGAAGAGAAGGGGTGAAGTTGAGGAGGAGAGGATAAAATCGGAGCTTGTTCCTGATTGGTGGCAGAAGGCCTGGGATGAGGTGGTCTTGCAGCGGGCACAGGGATTGGATGGAGGTTCGGGCCGAGCCAGACCGACAGGTTTGGGAGGCGCTCCTGAGAAAGGCACACGACTGGCTGTGATGCGTATGTGGGGATGGGTGGGGAGGGGTGGAGGGTGGGGAGGGTTTGATACCATGGGTTGTACGGCTGTGTTAAGTTGCACATGATAACATCATGTGCAATGGAAGCTTCTGCAAGTGTGTGGAAGGGGTTGGGGAAAGCAGATGTGGGTTGGGTGAAATAATGGTACGAGTCAGATGTGCGTGCATAGGCATCATGGGGCTTCCAAATGTTACGAGCCAAATCCATCCCGTGTTGTAATCGCATCGTGTAACTTCAGGTGCATTCTTTTTTGTTTCCGTACACTGCCAGTCAGGTGCATTCCCATCAATAATGATTGTCATAGACACTGGTTTTGTCATTTTCACATTGTCATTATGATGTTCGTTGTCAGGGGCATTGGAGCATTTTAACTCGCACGGCCACATCCCACCAGAGGATCTCAAGCAGGTGCCCACACCACACATCAACCTATTACACCACGCGAAACCACATCACGCCACATCAGACCGCAATATACGATTGTTTAACCTTCTCGGACTTCTGGGTTTCAACCGTTTCTCTTGGGAACTCCAAAACGTGCTCAAACTGACAGTCCCTTTTCTTTGCTGTTCTATCCGCAACCTCCTGTGAGCCGTCAGATCTGGGCGGCGTGGCGGGCATCTGGTGACACGTGGCACACTCACAGGGACTCTGTGCGGCTGATAGTGTTCAACTCCGCCGTCCAGCTGGCACTGGATGAGTGCATGAGGTGAGTGATAGGGCCAGGCCAGGATCTGAGAAATGGAGTGCACCAGATGAGTGACTTATGGTCTGAAGCCCCTAAAAAAATCCGCGGGGATGGGGTGATTGTGGGAGTGGTAGCCGGTTTTCGAAAATTCTCATACAATGTTGACATACATTGTAAGTCACCCTTACATGCCCCTAGGCTACCCCACCTAGTTCCTGCCTATATATTCTACCTCGCGTGCAGGTCGCCCTGTCTCCCCATCTCCTATGGCCCATCATTCCTCGCTGCTATGGCAGCAGCCATCGGCCTCTCGCCATCCTTCACCCCATGCTCCCCCCATCCCTCCCACGACACCGAGCCTCACGTGCAGGTCGCCCTGTCACCCCACCTCCTCCGGCCCATCATTCCTCACTGGCATGGCAGCAGCCGTCGGCCTCTCACAATCCGTGGCCCTCGCAGCAACACTCAAAGGCGTGGTTGCCAGGCTGGAAACAGAGCTCATCGCTTGCAACGTGAGTCTACAGGGTGTTTGTGAGGATACGGAAAGGCACACTAGACCAGCAGCCAATGTCGGCCTCTCACCACCCGTGGCCCTCGCAGCAACACTCAAGGGCGTGTCTGCCAGGCTGGAAGCAGAGCTTGTCGCTTGCAATGTGAGTCTGCAGGGTGTTTGTGAGGGTACTCAAAGGCACACTAGACTGGCACTTCCAGTCCACCTTGCGCCATCTGTAGCCCTCGCAGCAACACTCAAAGGCGTGGTTGCCAGGCTGGAAGCAGAGCTCATCGCTTGCAATGTGAGTACTCTGTGTGGGTGGTTATAACGAGGTGTGCGCGCGTTGTTGTGTGACAATAACAGGGCGGTAGGAGTGCTGCCATGGTATCCGGTGTTCCCCCTGTATTGATCTGGTTGTTTGTGTGAGTGTGTTCAAAATAGGGATTTGTATGATTCTTCATGTGCCTCCATGCAACTCTTGAGGTGCTTCAATATGCTACTCCATCACATACCTTTTTGGTTTGTGCACGTGTGGTGTGTGGTTGTATGGGATGGGAAGCAGGGCATGATAGAAGCGTTCATGTGGCGCCATGCAAACGTCAAGTTGCGCCAGATAGCAAACCTGCTCTCTGAATTCACTCCTCCTGCGATCTCTGTACGTGGCTTATGTGCCTGAATGATCAACACACACGTGCACATGCTCTGGGGCTGCACTCCTGCACACATCCACACGTTTGCTTTCTGAGGCGCCTCAAAAATCGCCTCGTTCGGCTTTTGAGGCGCCTCAAAAAGGATGATCAACACACACGTGCACATGCTCTGGTGCTGCACTCCTGCACACATCCACACGTTTGCTTTCCCCCTCGTTTTCCCACTCCCTCCCCCTCCCTCCCCCCATTCCTCTCTTTGCATCCACACCACCTTGTGCTACCTGTATCACAACAGTATGACTCCAGCACCCCGTTCCTCCCGCTTTCACCCATCTTCTCCCCTTGCCCCCGTCTTCTCCCCTTGCCCTCATCTTCTCCCTTTGCCCCATCGTCTCCCCTTGCCCTTATCTTATCGGTTGCCCCATCGTCTCCCCTTGCCCTCATCTTCATCCATCCCCACCAGCCTGAGCTAGCGTCTTCAGCCAACTGTCTGGGTGTCATGCTGACTCGCCGGCAGCGGGAGGAGCTGGCATGGATGTATGAAAGGGCTGCTGGTCCCATGCATGTGGTGCTCGTGAGGACTGCTCTTGGGGTATAATGTAGGGTTTGCCAAGCTAGCTATCGACCACCACGTGACGGAATGTGTTTTCCTTTGTTGATTGAATTTAGCTGATTGCTACTTCACGAAAATTTATGTAGTGTGAAATCTCGAATGCACTGTTCTATCCTGTCGCATCTCATTTAAGGGGTGTGGCACCAGCGGCAGTTTTCGTACCGAGTCAGTCTGTAGTGATGTTTCTTTCTTCACGCCTTCTCCACCCCCTCCAACTTCGCAGCATCATGCATCACACCACCCCTCCCTCCCATCATTCCGTCACATTCCTATCACACTTCAGAAATAGAGGTATCATTTCTAACTCGTATGAACATCTGAGTTCGCCAGCTTGTCGAGTGGGTCGATGGCGCACGCGTCACTTCAACAGATTTCACACTGCTTGGCGGATGCGGAGCGACACGTGGCACGTAACCCGTGCTTCCGTACGATGGCTGATGGTTCGTTCATAGTGGCGAGTTGTAACTGTGTTCGGCACACCGGACACGGCAGACGGTTCGCTGTCGCGGGTGACATGACACTGAAGCTGACTGAACAAGGGGTATCGAGCGTGTCGGGCGGCCTCACTACCCGACGTAGGATCCTGATGATGGCTCCTGCTCCCTCAGGTGTGGGACCCAAACGGAACGAGGTTTGGCAACTCTGAAGAGCAATGGCGAAACCTGAAGAGCAAAATGAACTTCCCTCTCTCCTGGGTGGCATGGCGAGGGTTTCAGTCCAAACCAGAACTCGGATCCACAACGCGGAAATGTTTTTTTTTTCATGCCCCGGGTACCGTCAAGTTCGCCCACATTCACGGTAACACCCGCCTGTACTCGGCGACCCACTCGCTCAGCGGCTAAGCGCCTGCACCTGCCAGGCACCGGTGGGAATTTTTCACCCCGCAAGCTCAGTGGCGACTTCTAGTACGAGTGGCAATTTTTCCATGGCAATCCAGCCACCGCAGCTGGCGTTTCATCCGCTCTTGGTCCGCCACCCCTGCGGAATTCTGGCGAGGCAGGAGTTTCCTTTCAGTTCCAGAATTACTCCCGGGAAATTCAAACTAGCCAGCTGCCCTGAAGTGTCATACAGGAGTCCCATACCAATTCACTCTCTGGCCCGTTGATTTGAACCATGAAAAGGCCTTGGCAGCTCACACCACATACGTTCCCTTTCCATAGGCGACTCCCATGGCTGTGCAGCTTCGAGCATGCCGAGGCGTGAAGCTTCAAACCTACCATGAACCGTCACCCAGCTATAGTTCTTGTGGTGACCCTAATGGTGGTAACCCTAATGTTGGTAACCTCAATTCCACTCGCATTATTATTAGTGGTAACTGGACCGCATCTTATAATCGTCTGAGCCCAGTAGTAGTAGCTTCGAGACGACTACAAAATCATCATGTTTATAGTCTGAGACGAGCAGTACCCAGGAGCCGGGCAGGACCAGAAACGTTAGCCATTTTACCAAGGCGGAGGGGTGTTCTGGCTAATTGTAGGCCCTTGCAGGTGAATGTCACGAGGCGCTTTGAAACACCATGGCATGGAGTGCAGGGTCGTGGTGTGCGAGTTACTGCTCTGCAGAACAAGGATGTGCGGTTAAATCCGTTGCAGAGTAGCACTGATACCAGCAGGGAGGATTGCTCCTGGCAAGAGAAAATTCTGTGGCGTTTTATTGCACTTACCACATTGTACAGTGGCAGCAGCAGCAGTATCAACGTCAGCAGTAGCAGCAGCAGCAACATCAGCAGTAGCAAGGAGTTTGATTCCCGGACAGCTGTTGAGTCCATTCAGGAGCCTTCAGGTTACAATGTTACGGCACAGAACTGGATCCCCAGCAACAGGGACGATGAATTCTCGAGGTTGTGGAAGCAAGACGAACGCGGAGGCGGCGAGGGGGAGGTAGAGCGGGAAGAGGAGACGGTATATGGAGGGAAGGGGATAACCAGAGGGTATGGTCTCCGAGGGATGGTGATTATGTAGAGAGGATTGGTGACTATATGGAGAGGATTGCTGACGATGTGGAGAAAATTGGTGACGAGTGTGTTAAGGAGATTGGGGAGGGTGTACGGCAGCAGATACGCCATCGAAGGAGACTTTTTGAGAGGAGGAGGAGAAGGGGTTCGTCAGCCTTGGGATTGTCGGACTTGTATAAATCTCCACTAGAGAAGGCCGTGGATTCGGTGTCTGACTGGGTTGCTGACGTGTCAGCGTCAGTGGCTGAGTCAGTTCCACCCACCATGGATAAGGCCAGGTGTGTGTGTGTACGTCACGCCTGGTGTGTGTGCATCACACCTGGTCACCCACCCACTCCAAACTTCCTGCTCACAGTTTTCCCTTCTCACCCACCCCTCAGTTCTCTCATAATTCTCTCATAGTTATGACTTCCATAATACGCTTTCGCCCACCCACCCATCTTCCCACTGCCCGCAACCCGTTCCCAACCACTAACAGGCTTGTTCTTTCCACTCACTCGCCCACTATCCAATCCACCCATCATCCCAACCCAACCCACCCACCCACTTACCCACCCCTCCACTGACAGGCGTGTTCTCACCACCCAGTCGCCCACCCCCCATTTGCTTACAATCCACCCGTCATCCCACCCTCCCATCCCCCCACCCACCCGTCCACTGACAGGCGTGTTCTCACCACCCAGATCGCAGCCCTCCCTGCTCGCCTGCACCAGATGCTACCTCCCCGCTCCGCCCCTCTCCCCCTCCGCCTCGCCCTCCTCCTCTCCTCCTCCCTCCTCCTCCTCTGCCTTCTCCTCCGCACCTCCCTCGTCGCACGTAGCTTCCAAGCAGCTTCCGCTGCTGTGCGCTCATTCTTTGCGCCTGTGCTGTGGGCTGTGAGTCCCGAGGAGGTTTTGCAGCAGCAGGAGGAGGAGGCTGAACGGAATGCACAGCAGCAGCAGCAGGAGCAGGAGAAGGCTGCGCGGAAGGCATTGCAGCAGCAGGAGCAGAAGGCTGAGCGGAAGGCCCTGCAGCAGCAGCAGCAGCAGCAGCAGCAGCAGCAGCAGCAGCAGCAGGAGGAGGAGGAGGAGGAGACGGAGAAGGAGGAGAAGAAGGCTGATCGGAAGGTATGTGTTGAGAATTCTAAAGAAATGCCAGCTTTCGCTGCTATGGGCTCATTCTTTGCGCCTGTGCTGTGGGCTGTGAGTCCTGAGGAGGTTTTGCAGCAGCAGCAGGAGGAGAAGGCGGAACAGAAGGCATCGCTACAGCAGGAAGGGATAGCTAATCGGAAGGTATCTGCTGAGAATCCCAAATTAACGGCAGCTGCCGCTGCTGTGCGCTCATTCTTTGCGCCTGTGCTGTGGGCTGTGGGTCCTGAAGAGGTTTTGCTACAGCAGAAGTCACTGCAGCAGCGACAGCAGCAGCAGCAGCAGCAGGAGAAGGCAGAGCAAAATTCGCTGCAGCAGCGACAGCAGCAGCAGCAGCAGCAGCAGCAGCAGCAGCAGAAAGAGGGCCAGCAGAAGCATAGCCGGCAGCAGCAGAAGCAGCAGCAGCAGCAACAACAGGAGCAGACAGGCAGTAGCGGGATTGGTGAAACTGGTAGTTCTGCCTTTGTGATGAAAACTGTGTTTGGGTTCAGTGGCAGTTATGCTGGTCTTAATGGTGGAGTGGAACCAGCAGGGAAAGAGGCAGAAGACATTCACCGCACCATGCTGGCTCTTGAAATGAGTCTGGTTGATACAACAGAACGCTCAGGTGAAAGTTCAGGTGAACGTGCAGGGAGACCAGGGAAAGCACAGAAGGGCATGGGTGGAGTAAGTAGTCAATCTGGGAAGAAATTTAGTCACCACCTCAATCAATCCAACACAGGCAGCAGAGTGGATCGTAAAGCAGTGAAGGGTCAAAAGAACGGCAATGGGATCAAATCGGATCTTGTCCCGGATTGGTGGCGAGATGCCTGGAGTGAGTTGGCCTTGCAGCAGACACAGCGGTTGGTTACAGGCTCGACTGCAGGCTCGGGTGCAGGCGCGGGCAGTGGCCAAGCTGGAGTGGCTGGTTCGGGAGGCGCTTCGGTGAAGGACACACGGGTCGCTGTGATGGGTAAGTGGGCTGGGATGATGTGGGTTGCAGTGGGATGCAGTTGGAAGGGGCTGGGGCTACTTGGATTGGGTAGGATGGCATGGCTATGAGACTAGTTGGTCTTTGAAAATTTTCATAGATCGGGTTTTGAGTCAACCCAAAACAAAACAAATTGGATTCGAACCACAGCAAGCGGAAAACACGACTCATGGATCGGTTTATTTATTAGAGGTGTTGACATAATCTGAATGATTGTGTTTCTTTGCAATGGCGTGCAATTTCAATCTCAGGTGCTTTGGAGCAGTTCAACTCGCAGGGGCACATCCCGGCAGATGCTCTCATTCAGGTGTGGCGCACCGCACCTGACCACATTGCTCCGCACCACATTGCACTGCACCACACCGCACCACACTACGCCTGTTTGACACGTTCTGCATCTCTCATGCAGAAGAGACGCACAATCACACTTCAGCAGCATGAATACATCTCCGTCAACTCACATCCACCCTTCAAACCCATCCCTATCCACCCATCAACTTTTCAAACCCATCCTCATCCACCTTTGTTGTCAATCCGTCAGATCTGGGCGGCGTGGCGAGCATCTGGTGACACGTGGCACACTCAGAGGGACTCTGTGCGGCTGATAGTGTTCAACGCCGCCGTCCAGCTGGCACTGGACGAATGCATTGGGTAGGGGAAACAAATAAGGAGGGATGGGATAATGGGATGGCGTGAAAGGGATGGGTTGATTGAGATTGTTGGGATGGGGTGATGGGATGGGGTGAGAGGGATGGGGGGAGATGGGTTTGGCTGAGAGTGATGGGGAAAAGAGATCACCGCGTTTCCCATTCCCATTCCCCAACCCCCTTACCCCATCCCACTTACTGTCAACAATACTTCCAACCCTCCATGCAGCTCGCAACACCCATCCAGCCTCCCCACCTCGGGCCCATCATTCTTAGTGGCTATGGCTGAAACTGTGAGCCTGGCCCCGCCTGCAGCTCTGGCAGCAGCTGCGGGTCTCACAGTCTCCCTATCCCCCTCTGCGCCCCGCCCCTATACACAGCTCCCACCAGCCGCCCAAACTCCCCACCTCGGGCCCATCATTCATAGTGGCCATGGCAGAAGCTGTGAGCCTGGCCCCTCCTGCGGCCCTGGCAGCAGCGTTGCGAGGGGTGGCCAGCAGAGTGGCAGCGGAGCTCGTGGCATGCAATGTGAGTGCAGGTGTGCATGTTTATTATGATCCCATGCCACATTGTGATCCCATGCCACATTGTGATCCCATGCCACATTGTGATCCCATGCCACATTGTGATCCCAATGTGCGAATGGTGATCCCAATGTGCGAATGGTGATCCCAACAGTGGCTGGTAAAGTAGGCTTCCCTATCGTCATTGGCGGTGTCAACCCTTCCTTGTTTTGGTTTTTCTCCAAGGAATTTTCCTTCTTTCTTTTTCTTTTTCTATGCAGGAGCTGTTAGAAGCGAGTAAGAGGGGCGAAGCAGAGGCGAAGCTACGGCAGATTTCAAATCTCCTCTCAGAGTTCACTCCTGCTGCAGTCGCGGTGCGTGCCCTTTGATTGTTCAATTGCACTCAAAAGCCTTTGCTTCTACCACGTGGCTATGCACTTGTTCACAAGAATGGGCTTCACAAGAATGATGGTTTGCATGCATGCACATCCTCCCACAGCCATCCACGCATCAGATCCATGCATATGCGTTTGCTTAACCCTTATGTGCCCTGGTTCCATTTTCCGTAATCCCTTTTCTGCCATCACTCCCAGCCGGAACTGGCATCCTCAGCCAACCTTGTACGCGAGATGCTGTCGCAGCGAGAGCGGGAGGAGCTGGCATGGATGTATGAAAAGGCTGCTGGTCCCAAGCATGCCAAGCTCGTGAAGAAAACGCTTGGGCTGCGATGAATAGACATGGTTGTGCATGATTTTTCCGCGTGTGATGAGTCGATTTTTTAGTCGACTCAAAAGTTGGGCTGCGAGGAATAGACAGGGTTGTGCATGATGTTTCCCCTCAAGTCTGTGTTGTGCGAGTCACGGTGGTGGTGATCATGTATGGTATGAGGAAGCTGCTGGTCCCAAGCATGTAGTGCTCGTTCAGAAGACACTCGGGCTCCGGTGACCTACCAGTTAAACACTAGATGATGCTGTCGCAGCAAGGGTGGGAGCAGGCCCCTAGATTCGTTTTGGACCAGGCTGATCCATCAGCCCTGGTACGGAAAAAAATGCTGACAGTCAGCGTTACCTAGGAAAAAAACTCTGAAAAATCAGTGTTCATAAAAAAATGGTGCTAATTGTGTATAGCTTTGATTCTAAGCAGAATTACGAATTACATATACTTGGTAACAATTTTATGGTTGGTTTGGGAGTGGCGAGGGAGGCAGGCGGGCTTTGGGAAGGGGCGAGCAGGTGGGCTGGGGGAAGTGGTGAGAGAGCAACCTGGGCTGAGGGAAGAAACGGGGTGGGCTGGAGGAGAGTTGAAATGGGGTTTATTAGAGTGGACGAAGTGGGCTGGGGGGTGAAACACGTGGGCTGGCGGGGAAATTCGAGTGGAACGGGGGCTGGGGGGGAAATTCGAATGGAACACGGGGGCTGGGGGGGAAATTCGAGTGGAACACGGGGGCTGGGGGGGGAAGTTCGTGTGGAAGTGGTGTGCTGGCGGAGATCGCTGGCTCTGTTCTGTAGGCCCTGGCGGCGGGGGGGCGAGGGGAATTAGGTAGCTTCCCCCCACTGCGTTTTTTGGGTTCGGAAGGCGGTCAGCCCGCAAAACGTTGCCGAGCCAGCCATTTCCCCTCCGAACCAGTTCGAGGGGAAATGGCTACAGAACAGCCATTTACCCTCGTGGATTTTGGCCCATCGGAAGCTACCTATTTCCCCTCTCCACCTTCCTCCTCTGGCAAAAGTCAAGTCATTCACTGGCCCTACGAAACCTGCTTTTTCAGGGCGTGGCGAGAGACATGGGAGGGATGTACGGTGGGTAGGGACACCCATCTACTACCCTCGATGGACTGCCCTCCTGCTGCGCGTAACCCAGAACGGAAAGCACAACCCGATCGAGGAAAACAAAACGCCCAGCCATCTTGCACAAACCGGAAATTGCGATTTGAGGTTGCATTTCGATTTTTTACTGCTGAACCCCCTCGTGCAAATAGTACCTTCCTATTTAGGTTCAATGTACCCCTGCCTATGGGGCGCGAAATTGAGCAGGCAAATGCGTCATTTACCTTCGGCACTTTCCGCCCCAGCTCACGAAGTTTCACGCTTTCGGTTGTAGCGGGGTAGGGGTGATCTCGAAAGGGAAACTGCTTTGGAACCCTCATCAATTCCTCTCGCCCCCCCTCCTCCCCCTCACGGCAAATGCCTACAGAACAGAGCCACTGTTTCAGTGTGTACCCACTACAAGGCTGAGTGCTCAGCCTACACTCATAGAAACAGGCTGAATATTCAGCCAAGGTATAGAAAAAAACACTGAAAAATCAGCCAAGGTACATAACAAAAAACTTTGGATTCAGCCTAACCCCTAGAAAAAAGCCTGATCTAACGCTGAATCAGCGTAAAGGCTGATATATAGGGCACTGGGTGGGAGGATGGAAGGATGTATGAGAAAGCTGCGGGTCCAGGGCCCTCGCTATCAGACATTTTTGTCTGTTTTTCTGAGGAATAAGACGGATTTTTTTTACGTAATCTGATTTTTAAGAAATGGAACGTTTGGGAAATCTGATGAATAAGATATGAGATTCCCATTTTGTCTGATGAAAAAGACGTGCGTGTAGCTATTCCTCTGATTTTCCAGGCACTTGTATCAGTTCCGTCTGAAACCGACTTTTATACAGTCTGCCGTGATTGACGCGTGATATGGGTTAGCTGCGCCAATCACAGCACGATCAGTAGACCTGTATGCGTGATTGCGGTGACAGCGCAGCGGAGCGCACTGACAGAAGTCAAGTGCTGGCAATCTGGCGCACGTCTGGCCAACTTGGGCCACATTGAGACGAAAGTGGAGCAAGTCTTTCTGTTACTGGTCCACTTTCACGCCAGCGCATGAGTTGTGTGGATTGCAGAGCCTCGCGCGACTCGCACCGACTGTTGCCCAACGTCCCGCTGGACGAAGGATGGAGGGGGGCACCGCGGTGAGTTGTAAGATCATGCATGCACCTCGTTCAGCTGATAATGCTCGGCTGGCTCCCCCTCCCTCTCCAACGCTCCTTTCACTCGCTAGCACAGGGGAATTCTTTCCCCTGCTCTCTCTACCGTCTTGACAACATCCTCCTAGGGCCCTGTAGCCATGGATTGTAGGGACGATGATGACCCTGCTAGGTCGCATCGTCCACTTACTGGTCTCGACTTTCTGAGAGGCGGTCCGCCTACCGCCACGCCTGAAAGAGATCCGCCTGTGCAGCCCCCAGTTACCAACAACGAACCAACGGCAAGCACGGAGCCCTGGCCGGATTTTAATCAGCGGCAACAGCTGAGCGATCCGCCTGTGGAAGAGTCGCCCACTAGAGCGACCGGGCGCGTCGCAACTCCCACGGTCAGTGCTGTCCGAAGCGCAGGCGTCTCCCGGTTCCCGAAGTTCAGGAAGTTCTCTCAATCGACTATTCGGTTTGCTCGAACTCGCGTACCTCATGTGCGCCTCACGCAAGGAAGGTCGCCCTCTCCCGCAGCTGCTGCTACTCCGCTGACTCCAGCGACTGGCACGAGCAGGGTGCCTTCGGATCCAGGGCCGTCCAGGCCGTCTATTTTGGTTCCGGATCCTGACGCGCTTCTCGAAGAACTGAAGAAGAAGTGCACCGACATCTGGCAACGTCGTTTCCCCTGGCTGCTGATATCACAAAGGAAGGATGGTCGCCCGTGCATGAAGTGCAGTGTCTGCATCAGATACGGACCGCCACACTGGCAGTACGGCAAGGTGGGCGAGGGTGGCGTGGACATCCAGAAGCAGACCATGCGCAAGCATGGTCTGAGTCGCAAGCATCAGGACGCCTTCGATCGTAAAGCCCGAGCCGAAGGAGGTAAAGTTGCTCAACGAGGGATTGATGAGTATGAGGACGGGGTGGGGGAGATTGAGCGTTTGAAACAACTTCTATTAGTGGTGCTTTTCATATGCAAGTCGGATGCACCTATTGCGCTCTTTGTTGGCCTTGTGCACCTGCTACACGTTCTGAAGACCCCCAACATTCCCGACAAGGCCATCGGCACCTACCAGACAGAGTGAGTAATGCAACGTGATGTGATGTTTAGGTACTCATCATCATTGACTTATTGTCGTGCTTTTCATTATGGCAGATATGGGTTTCGGGAGATGACCGAAGCCATGGTGCAGCACCTGAAGGCCCGTCAGATGCGATACATCCAAGAGTCGCCCTTTCTCAGGATTCAGCTCGACGAGTCGACTGATCGGAGGAAGGGCAAGCATCTCATCGTCTACCTAACCTTCATGAAGGAGGAGAAGGCGGTGACCGAGCTTTTCGGGCACCTAACCGTGGAGAAGGGCGACGCTTCATCTCTGCTCGCCGTCTTGCTGGCGCATCTGGACTGCAACGGGGTTGACATGCACAAGATCTCCGGCATCAGCACGGATGGCGCGAACGTCATGCTGGGCAGTCAGAATGGGCTGGTGGTTCAGCTGAAGATGCGAGTTCCGCATCTTGTCGCGTGTCATTGCCTTGCTCACCGGTGAGGTATTTTGCACTTCAAATTTTGCAGTATTGTTGTCAGATACACCTCCCCCTACTCACTTGGTTTTTTTTTCCATCATCTAACAGAGAGGCTCTCGCAGCCAAGGATGCCGCGACGAACATCCCCGCCTTCAACATCGTCGACCAAGGGATCCGCGCCATCGCGACCCTCATTGGCGGAAGCTGCGTCGTCCACCAGAGGTTCCACGAGCTGCAAACCGTGATTCACGCCACGAACTTGGAGATGCAGGGGATTTTCGATGTTCGCTGGCTGTCGCGGGGCGATGCTGTTTCGAGACTTGTCGCTGTTCTGCCGGCTGCCATAGTGCTGCTCCACGAGAAAGACAGCACGACGTATCACCTGGTTACGAGCCTCAAATTTCATTTCTTTCTTTTTTTTCTCGCTGATGTCCTGAAGGAATTGAACGAGCTCAACAAGCGGTTTCAGCGACGATCGGTGAGCGTGTAATTAACGGTCGCCGATTTTGAAATTCGCTCTAGTCCCGAATGTCAGTGATTAACATTGTGTTTGTGCGTGATGTCGCAGGTGGACATCACCCGTGTCATGGGGCAGGTGCAAAACACCTGCGAGAAGTTGAACGCGCGCTATGTGGAGTACGGGGTGAACTTCGCGGAGGACAGCGAGCACCTCACTGCCTTCCTCGAAGCGCACTCCCATCCGTCCAAGCGGGTGGTCCAGGTGGAGGGGATGGATGGAGACGGCAACGCCGTCAAACACACCTTCAAGCTGCACGAGCTGGATGCGAAGAAGAAAGAGGATCCCTCGGGTGACGTCGAGTCCTGCGTGTCCCTCGCCACCCTGTTTGCGAAGGAGGTGATCGGCAGGCTACAGTACCGCATGCGAAGCTTGAAGTCCCTCGTTGGGTCCAAGCTATTTCTGCCAGACGCCTATCCGGATGGCGTGAACAAGCGCGACCGTCTGTGCGCGGAGTGGTTCAGCTCCCTTCGCAAGATGTTCAACGCCGAGCAGTGCGCTCTGCCAGGTACGTGTTTTCAAATTCCGCGTTGTCCCTAATCCCTTGTTTGTGTAACGATCCGTCTACATAGTGGGATGCTAACTAGATGTGCTGTGTGCTTGCAGGAGTCAATAGGAAGAAGGCCGAGCGGGAGCTTCCACGTTTCACCCGCGTGATGGTGTCACAGTACAAGGATCAATCCTTCCACGTGGCACTTAAGAACATGCTCAGGAGCGGGGATTGGGAGTCTTCTTTCCCCAATCTGGTTCGACTTTGGGTGGCAGTGGCTGTTCTTCCGCTCAGCACTGTGGAGTGCGAGCGAGGGTTCAGTCGCCAAAACGTAATCAAGTCGTGGCTCAGGAACAACCTCTGCAATGCGCGACTCTCCGACCTCATGTGCATCTCCCTGCTTGACTACGAACCAGACTGGGACAACGTGGTGAAGCTGTGGCGCGGGGCAAAGAAGAGGCGCCCTGCCAAAGAAGTCAGTGGAGTGGCAACTGCGAAGCGCAGGGAGGCAGAGACGGAAGCGGCAGGGAGGCAGGGAGACAGGGAGGATCTAGCACCTAACACGACAGCTCAGAAAGCGCCGTCCAATGACGACGGAGAAGCCAAGAGGAAGAAAGCCAAAACTCACATAGTAGATAGCGACAGTGAGGATGAAGGAGTGGATGTGCGTGCAACTGTTACACTGAGTGACAATGAGGCATCTGACTCTGACTCAGATAGCTAGATAGTTATTCTTGATATGTTTTCTTTGTAGAGAATAGCTGAGTAGTAGTTGTAGTTACAGTAGGGACGGGTTACAAAATCTGATTTTTAAGCCAAGTAATGTTAGAATTTCTGATGCGAAAGACAGGGGCGTGAAAATTTTCTGACCAGTCAGACGGGCCCGAAGGGCCCGTCTGACGCCTCAGGGGGGTTCAGAGACTAGCGAGGGCCCTGTGCGGGTCCCAAGCACGCATTACACGGTGTTTTCACGTTCTGTTATGTAGGTATGCGCTGATGATACAGGTTGCATAGCCGACAGCTCACGGACTTGCGGGTTGATTTGTGCTTGGAGGAGTTTCCATGTCCAGGGGCGGGTCAATCGAGTATGTTAGTGTCATCGCGCAAAGAATCACCTCTTCACGGAAATAATAATTTTAACCATGTTTGATTGAGGATCACGATACAGAGGCACTTGAAAGACAAGCAAGGGGGGGGTTGCGGACGTGCCGCGCTCGCTGCTGCCGGAAGCGCTAAAAGCGGTGATTCCTCATTCGTGAATGAGCGAAGAGGATGAGAGGGAAGATGCTCTTTCATAGCGAAGAGCGGCTCTTGAAGTGGATGCGTGCCTTGCGCTAGATACTGGGCGAGAGACTGTAACATGGTGTTCACTTGTTATTTCGCCATTTTGTATGTTTCGCTAAACTTCACGCGCCCTTTCCTAACTCTCTTCCTCAAAATGTTGTTGACACTTTCCCAGTAGAACGTTTTCACCTCACCATCCATGGCTCCTAGGGTTTCAACATGATAACAGAGCGAAGTCCTATAACTTCACATCCTATTAATCTTCAAATCCTAACTCATTTCTTAGGCTCCTCCTAAAAGGTTACTCCTTTCCATTCTCCCCATCGCGTGCCTTTTCTCTCCTCATTGCGCTTCCTCCTCCTCGTTTCTTTTTTTTCCTAACTCGTCGCGAGCCTATACATTTCAGTCGCGCGCCTCCTCCTCCTTGTCGCGCGCCTCCTGCAGCCCGTTGCGGGCCTTCTGTTTCTCATCGCGCTCCACCCCGCTGCCCATCGCGGGCTTCCTCCTACTCGTCCCAAACCCCGCAATTTGCAGTGCGCCGCCCCGCATTCTATCACGCGCCTCTCTACCATCTGTCGCGCGACACCAATTCCCGCAGCCTATCGCGAGCCTTGCGCTACTCGTCGCGCTTCACCCCGCGGACCTTCGCGCGCCTTTAGCTGCCCCTGGCTCCTCTCCGCGCCATTACCATATTCCGCCGGTCAACGCGCCTCTCCCTGCACATCCCGCGGTCTCCACTGCTGGCGCTCCTTCCGCTGACCCTGTCCGCCCTCCTCACTCACCTTCTCACCGGGATCATCCCGCCATATCCGCCTCTTCATCCTCCTCCTCCTAATTTCTCTCCTCTCTATCCCTCCTGCGCCTCACCCCTTCCTCCACCTCCCTCCTCTCCGCATCTGCTGCAGCTGCTTGCTGCTTGCTGCTTGGTGACCGTGCTCCTCCCTTCTCCACTCTTCCTCCTCCTCGCATTCCTCCCCGCATCTGCTCAGCCCCTGACTTCTACTCCTCATGGCGACCTCCCTCGCCCTCGTTCCTTTCTCTGCCTCTTCTTCCTCCCTGGTCCTTCAGCTTGCGCCTGACGGCACCGCGGTCAACTTCCCCGGTTGGCTCAACTGCCTCCCTTTGACTCGCTCTCTGACACCCTCGTGCGAGGCTTTAACCTCTGGTCCGTCACTCAGCAGAGCGGCTCTGGCGCCATGCCCGCCGCTCCACCTACTCGTACCTCTTCCCGCTCTTCTGACCCCTATGCTGCCGGCCTTCTCGCTGCCGCCGTTGAAACTGAGAAGATAGCTACTACAGCTCAAGCCGCTGCTGACGCTGCTCCTGACAATGCCGCCGCCCGTGACCTGGCTCGCGCCCTTGCCGAGTCCCTTGAGAACGCCCGCAAGCGCCTTATCGATTACCTCGCTGCCCCCTCTCCTATAATGTGAGCAGCAACAGCCTGTCCTCTATTCGCCTCGCTGATTTTCCCACCATGGCGGATTACATTGCCCGTGTCCAAGCGCTGTCCTCTCAGTTCTGCTCAGAAGTTTGACCTCTCCGATCATGTCTGCGGCGCTCTGCTTCTCACCGGCCTCACCCCTGAGTATAGCACGCACGTCACCCTTTACGGGGAGCGTCCCGCTGCCGACCAGTGGTCCTTCTCCCGTGTCTCCGCCTTCCTTCTTAAGGCTGAGGTCAACCTGCGCAGCTGTCCTCCTACCGCTGCTGCTGCTGTCACTTTCCCATCGCGCCCCCCTCGTGCGGCCACCACCACTGCCGCTGCTGCATCCCTGCCGAAGGAGTGGGAGCAGGTATGGCCGAAGGAGAGGGGGCAGGTTGGGCCGAAGGAGAGGGGGCAGGTTGGGCCGAAGGAGAGGGGGCAGGTTGGGCCGAAGGAGAGGGAGCAGGTTGGGCCGACGGAGTGGGAGCAGGTATGGCCGAAGGAGAGGGGGCAGGTTGGGCCGAAAGAGAGGGGGCAGGTTGGGCCGAAGGAGAGGGAGCAGGTTGGGCCGACGGAGTGGGAGCAGGTATGGCCGAAGGAGAGGGGGCAGGTTGGGCCGAAGGAGAGGGGGCAGGTTGGGCCGAAGGAGAGGGGGCAAGTTGGGCCGAAGGAGAGGGGGCAGGAGTATAAGCGCCATGGAAAGCGGACGACGGATGAAGAGGAGGATCGCGATGCAGAGGCATTTGCAAGACAAGCAGGGAGACGTGTGGACGTGACGCGCACGATGCTGTCAGCGCTAGTAGCGAGGATTCGTCGCAATTTTTGGATAGTGGTTGAGCGGGAGGAGAAGGAGATTCTGGAATTCGAGGCTGAGGAGGTTGAGATGTTCGTCGAGAGACTTGTTGACGCGCACAAGCAGCTCACGCAGTGGATGTTGTCAGGGTACGAGAGACATGGCGAGAGGGAAATGGGCGAGAGACTGGAACTGATGCTGGACGAGATAAAAGCGGGCGAGAAAACGTATGAGAGAGCCCGCGAGATGCTTGAAGCGGACGAGTTTGCCGTGTCGACGGAATTCAGTATCGTGGTGCAGCGGGCGATGAACACGCTTGGAGAGATGGTGGCGAGGCTGAAGGTGGAGTTGCGGGACGCTTTGCAAGAACGGGTGAAGTCAAGGCAGAAGGGTAAGGCAAAGGTGAAGGAGGCATTGAAAGCGACGGGGAAGGCTTCACCAGCCGCTAGGGTTTACCAGAAGCGGACGGGGACGGCGGTGGCAAAGGTGATGCCGCTAGGGAAGGTGGCCCAGAAGGCAAAGGAGAAGGGGAAGAAGAGGCAGATGGATGAGGGGAAGGAGAGGCGGATGGATGAGGGGAAGAGGAAGCGGGTGGATGAGGGGAAGGAGAGGCAGATGGATGAGGGGAAGGAGAGGCGGGTGGATGAGGGGAAGGAGAGGCGGGTGGATGAGGGGAAGGAGAGGAGGATGGATGAGGGGAAGAGGAAGCGGGTGGATGAGGGGAAGGAGAGGCAGGTGGATGAGGGGAAGGAGAGGCGGGTGGATGAGGGGAAGGAGAGGAGGATGGATGAGGGGAAGAGGAAGCGGGTGGATGAGGGGAAGGAGAGGCAGATGGATGAGGGGAAGGAGAGGCGGGTGGATGAGGGGAAGGAGAGGCGGGTGGATGAGGGGAAGGAGAGGAGGATGGATGAGGGGAAGAGGAAGCGGGTGGATGAGGGGAAGGAGAGGCAGATGGATGAGGGGAAGGAGAGGCGGGTGGATGAGGGGAAGGAGAGGCGGGTGGATGAGGGGAAGGAGAGGCGGGTGGATGAGGGGAAGGAGAGGCGGGTGGATGAGGGGAAGGAGAGGCAGGTGGATGAGGGGAAGGAGAGGCAGATGGATGAGGGGAAGGTGGATGAGGGGAAGGTGGATGAGGGGAAGGTGGATGAGGGGAAGGTGGATGAGGGGAAGGTGGATGAGGGGAAGGTTGATGAGGGGAAGGTGGATGAGGGGAAGGTGGATGAGGGGAAGGTGGATGAGGGGAAGGTGGATGAGGGGAAGGTGGATGAGGGGAAGGTGGATGAGGGGAAGGTGGATGAGGGGAAGGTGGATGAGGGGAAGGTGGATGAGGGGAAGGTGGATGAGGGGAAGGTGGATGAGGGGAAGGTGGATGAGGGGAAGGATAAGCGCCAGGGAAAGCGGACGACGGATGAAGAGGAGGATCGCGAGCAGGGTGGTGCTCTCGCGGAGGCAAGGGGCTCTGGGGTGGCCTAGCGACCCCGTGTAACGTTGTAACCCCCTCGTTACTCACCCGTGAGTCGCTCGCTTCCCTCCCGCCACGATTTCCTTTGCTCCCGTAGAGTCTTCTCGCACACGTTTCCATTACCTTCCCCTCCCGCTCCCATTCCCGTCCCCTCCCGCTCCCATTCCCGTCCCCACACGCTGCCCTTCCCCACACGCTCCTGTTCCCTACCCTTCTCGCTGCCATTCACTTCTGCTTGTGTTTCCCTCACTTTCTTTCCTTTCTCTTTCCTGCACCTCCTATCCCCTCACTGCCACTCCCTTCACTTCCTTACACCTTACCCCGCTGATTCCCTCCGTTCCCGTCAATTTGCTCTACTTTTTAACCCCTCATCTCAAGTCCTTGTGATTTCGTGCCCTCCCTTTTCCTCCTCTCTGTCTTTCCATTCTGCCCCCCCCCGGTCTCCCTCCCCCACTCTACTCTCCACTCCTAAATAAACTTCCTCCGCCCTTTTTGTGCTTCTTTCCTCCCTGCTGCCCCCCCTCCTCCCTGCATTCTGCAAGTGCTGCTCACTGGAAGAATGTCCGAAGACCTCCTCCCTGCATTCCGCATCAGGTGCCCCTTCCATCCAGAGGAGTCACCACACCACTGGAGGGAGGGGAACTGCAGCAATAGGGGTGGGTTCAGGTGGCTGCGAGCATGCAGCGGGAGCAGAGAAGAGATGAGGGGTGAGCAGATCGGACAAACTGCTACTATTTTGTTAGTCGACTAAAACCCGGAGCAGAGATGAGGGGGTGAGCAGACTGGGCAAACTGCTACCATTTTTTAAGACTGTGCTGTGCTTGTAGCACCTAGACTGTTCACCATCGTGCCAGAGGAGGCTGTTCTGTGCGCCTCTTCACATAGACTGATCATATTTGTGGTAGCGGCATCAGTCGTGTCAGTGCTTGAAAGAGCTGTTTACATCTAAGCGTAGAATCTGTGCAGTAGTGCCTAGCCAACATGTAAGGTCAAGACCACAATTCTATGGAGCCTGCAAGCAAGCATGCACCACACGGGTCACCTTTCCTGAATGCTTTTCGCCATGGAGGTCCACTGTTACGAGTGCAATTGAGTGAGCGAACGAGAATTGCACTATCGAGGCAAAAGTACAAATGAGCGAAGGCATGAGCGAAGAATATATAGCGAAACTACAGTGGTAACGGTAATGGACTGTGGTTGTCGCGTGACGGGCCTGGGACTGAGATTGGGAAAAGTGTCGAAGCGGAGGCCCGGAGCGCGGGCTACCCGCCGAGCCGTGAGGTCGGGGTGCGACGTGCGAAGGTGGCGGGAGGATTGTCGATGCGAGAGTTGCGAGTGGTAACGGTGCTGACTGTGGTGCTACAGTGATGTACGCGCTGAGCGGGGACGCGAAGTAAGGAAAAGAATTTTTCCTTACACTACCCCCCCCCTAAGGAGGTCCTCCTTACGAAAGTGCGTGTACATCCCTGAAGTTTCGGCTGCGCAGATACTCGGTGAGGACGGGGTGGTTTTCGATTCTATCCAGGGGAACCCAGTTGTCTTCGGTGGATGTACGGTCTTTCCAACGGATCAGGAACTCGATCCTTCGGGCTCCTCGAGGATCGCGAACTCTGTGACTCAGAATTTTATCGGGGGTGATGATTGGTTCAGTCGGCGGTCGTGTCATGCTGGCTGGGCGATTTCGTGGGAGTTGGCTTGTGGACGGGACGTAGGGGCGAAGCAGGCTGACGTGGAACGAGGGGCTGACGTACCAGTCAGCGGGGAGGAGGAGGTGGGCGGTGACGGGTGTGATCATGTGGCTGATGCGAAATGGTGTTAGAGGTCCACTGGTGATCCCCGATTGATCCTAGGGAAGGGTTACAGGCATGTTGGCCTGGGGGGTTATGGGCGCACTGACATGGTATCAGAGCGAAGGTCTCGCGTTCGAATCCCAGTGTGTGCACTTCGGGCATCCCAGAGCGGGGGGGTGTCAGAGGTCCACTGGTGATCCCCGATTGATCATAGGGAAGGGTTACAGGCATGTTGGCCTGGGGGGTTATGGGCGCACTGACCCGCTACTTAACAAGCCCTTTTATCCCAGTGGTTAGTGGCTGGGATTCTGACAAATGGTCCACAGTATCGGGGACGGAGTTTTGGGGTGATGGGCAGGCGGAGGTTCTGGGTGTCAAGTAAAACTAGGTCGTCGGGCCCCCTCGTTACTCACCCGTGAGTCGCTCGCTTCCCTCCCGCCACGATTTCCTTTGCTCCCGTAGAGTCTTCTCGCACACGTTTCCATTACCTTCCCCTCCCGCTCCCATTCCCGTCCCCTCCCGCTCCCATTCCCGTCCCCACACGCTGCCCTTCCCCACACGCTCCTGTTCCCTACCCTTCTCGCTGCCATTCACTTCTGCTTGTGTTTCCCTCACTTTCTTTCCTTTCTCTTTCCTGCACCTCCTATCCCCTCACTGCCACTCCCTTCACTTCCTTACACCTTACCCCGCTGATTCCCTCCGTTCCCGTCAATTTGCTCTACTTTTTAACCCCTCATCTCAAGTCCTTGTGATTTCGTGCCCTCCCTTTTTCTTTCTCTCTTCTTTCCATTCTGCCCCCCCCGGTCTCCCTCCCCCACTCTACTCTCCACTCCTAAATAAACTTCCTCCGCCCTTTTTGTGCTTCTTTCCTCCCTGCTGCCCCCCCTCCTCCCTGCATTCTGCAAGTGCTGCTCACTGGAAGAATGTCCGAAGACCTCCTCCCTGCATTCCGCATCAGGTGCCCCTTCCATCCAGAGGAGTCACCACACCACTGGAGGGAGGGGAACTGCAGCAATAGGGGTGGGTTCAGGTGGCTGCGAGCATGCAGCGGGAGCAGAGAAGAGATGAGGGGTGAGCAGATCGGACAAACTGCTACTATTTTGTTAGTCGACTAAAACCCGGAGCAGAGATGAGGGGGTGAGCAGACTGGGCAAACTGCTACCATTTTTTAAGACTGTGCTGTGCTTGTAGCACCTAGACTGTTCACCATCGTGCCAGAGGAGGCTGTTCTGTGCGCCTCTTCACATAGACTGATCATATTTGTGGTAGCGGCATCAGTCGTGTCAGTGCTTGAAAGAGCTGTTTACATCTAAGCGTAGAATCTGTGCAGTAGTGCCTAGCCAACATGTAAGGTCAAGACCACAATTCTATGGAGCCTGCAAGCAAGCATGCACCACACGGGTCACCTTTCCTGAATGCTTTTCGCCATGGAGGTCCACTGTTACGAGTGCAATTGAGTGAGCGAACGAGAATTGCACTATCGAGGCAAAAGTACAAATGAGCGAAGGCATGAGCGAAGAATATATAGCGAAACTACAGTGGTAACGGTAATGGACTGTGGTTGTCGCGTGACGGGCCTGGGACTGAGATTGGGAAAAGTGTCGAAGCGGAGGCCCGGAGCGCGGGCTACCCGCCGAGCCGTGAGGTCGGGGTGCGACGTGCGAAGGTGGCGGGAGGATTGTCGATGCGAGAGTTGCGAGTGGTAACGGTGCTGACTGTGGTGCTACAGTGATGTACGCGCTGAGCGGGGACGCGAAGTAAGGAAAAGAATTTTTCCTTACACTACCCCCCCCCTAAGGAGGTCCTCCTTACGAAAGTGCGTGTACATCCCTGAAGTTTCGGCTGCGCAGATACTCGGTGAGGACGGGGTGGTTTTCGATTCTATCCAGGGGAACCCAGTTGTCTTCGGTGGATGTACGGTCTTTCCAACGGATCAGGAACTCGATCCTTCGGGCTCCTCGAGGATCGCGAACTCTGTGACTCAGAATTTTATCGGGGGTGATGATTGGTTCAGTCGGCGGTCGTGTCATGCTGGCTGGGCGATTTCGTGGGAGTTGGCTTGTGGACGGGACGTAGGGGCGAAGCAGGCTGACGTGGAACGAGGGGCTGACGTACCAGTCAGCGGGGAGGAGGAGGTGGGCGGTGACGGGTGTGATCATGTGGCTGATGCGAAATGGTGTTAGAGGTCCACTGGTGATCCCCGATTGATCCTAGGGAAGGGTTACAGGCATGTTGGCCTGGGGGGTTATGGGCGCACTGACATGGTATCAGAGCGAAGGTCTCGCGTTCGAATCCCAGTGTGTGCACTTCGGGCATCCCAGAGCGGGGGGGTGTCAGAGGTCCACTGGTGATCCCCGATTGATCATAGGGAAGGGTTACAGGCATGTTGGCCTGGGGGGTTATGGGCGCACTGACCCGCTACTTAACAAGCCCTTTTATCCCAGTGGTTAGTGGCTGGGATTCTGACAAATGGTCCACAGTATCGGGGACGGAGTTTTGGGGTGATGGGCAGGCGGAGGTTCTGGGTGTCAAGTAAAACTAGGTCGTCGGGCCCCCTCGTTACTCACCCGTGAGTCGCTCGCTTCCCTCCCGCCACGATTTCCTTTGCTCCCGTAGAGTCTTCTCGCACACGTTTCCATTACCTTCCCCTCCCGCTCCCATTCCCGTCCCCTCCCGCTCCCATTCCCGTCCCCACACGCTGCCCTTCCCCACACGCTCCTGTTCCCTACCCTTCTCGCTGCCATTCACTTCTGCTTGTGTTTCCCTCACTTTCTTTCCTTTCTCTTTCCTGCACCTCCTATCCCCTCACTGCCACTCCCTTCACTTCCTTACACCTTACCCCGCTGATTCCCTCCGTTCCCGTCAATTTGCTCTACTTTTTAACCCCTCATCTCAAGTCCTTGTGATTTCGTGCCCTCCCTTTTTCTTTCTCTCTTCTTTCCATTCTGCCCCCCCCGGTCTCCCTCCCCCACTCTACTCTCCACTCCTAAATAAACTTCCTCCGCCCTTTTTGTGCTTCTTTCCTCCCTGCTGCCCCCCCTCCTCCCTGCATTCTGCAAGTGCTGCTCACTGGAAGAATGTCCGAAGACCTCCTCCCTGCATTCCGCATCAGGTGCCCCTTCCATCCAGAGGAGTCACCACACCACTGGAGGGAGGGGAACTGCAGCAATAGGGGTGGGTTCAGGTGGCTGCGAGCATGCAGCGGGAGCAGAGAAGAGATG